GAATGAGAGCTCCGCTCAGTGGGCAAAAGCCTTTCCAGACTGGTCCCTGAAAGCATCGTGCGTACAGATGCCTGCTGGTTGCCATGGTGAATGATGCTGATCTGAAGAAATGAATAATGTGAGCGTTTGGGGGCGACAGTGGGATTACTCAGACAGTGGCGAGAGAGGCATCAAGGAGAGCCCAGAGCAGAGGAGGGGAGAAGGCTCCATCCCTTCAGCTTTGGTCCACTCTGTCCCTGCCTCTGCAGGCTGCGTTCTAACCAGATCCACCGCGAGCATCAGGTAAGGGACATAAATGGCTCTTCTTGGAAATGGAAATGGTTTTTCCTTTCACACTCTGCCTGGCATAGGGCCAGGCGATGGCAATACGAGCAGCTAAAAATAGGGGGAATTTAGAAACAGAAGCAGAAAAGGAAAAGCAAATAAGGGAGACTCATCTGGTCCCCAAAGCTGAAGATGCTGCTACAGTGTCTTGCCAGAAAGCTCTTAAAAATGTCTGCTGTGGAGAACTCAGTCTGCAAAGACAGCCAGCAGCAGATGCGAAGCAAACAGGAGAAAAGATTCATGACAAAACACGGGATTCCTGATCACCCCTGATGGAAGGGGTTTACAAAGGCCATTGCCTCTGTATTATAAGCAATGAATTAAGCTCTTTTCGTTGTGGTCAGAAGTGTGTTTACAAGGATGTGTGGGGCGGAGAGGACGGGAGAGGTCACAAGAAGGGAGACTGATGAAGAGAGCGCAAACAGTCTCCTTCGCAATGACCTTCCCGGGAGGGATCTGAGCACACCTGTCTTGTCCTTTTCATTACCCATGTTTCTGGGAAGAAATTTCCAACCAAACAGAAGGGAACTCTTTCCCTTCCTGAGCATTTCAGCTCACTGTCATCCTTAGAGAAGAAAAACGAGGATTGAAAAATCACTCAGTGCTGTGCTTTTCTGCAACCCACCTCCTCTAGGTAAACAGGCGGGCACGGAAATAAAAGGTTGGAGGGAGGCAGGGAGGTGAGAGCGCAGCTTGTCATGGAAATCAGTTTGGCTTCACATCCAATTCAGGTTAAAATCTGGTTGATGGGTTTTTACTAGGTCATTAAGATCTAAACCACAGGCTTCTGCATTTCACTTTCACGTAAGACAGGAAGGGGAAGGGGAGAGAACAGGGCTGGTGGAGACTGTACGTGAGCACACACAGGCTGAAGGAATATGGCTGCCCCTGAATTTTCGATCAGGGGAAATTCAGTGGAGGGGACACTCTCTTTCTCAAAGAGATAGTATTTAAGAGAAACTAAAAAGCTTGAAGATGGTGCTCTCTTACCAAAGCAGAAGGGCTGATAATCTGAAGAGGGCTCATTTGATTTGTGGAAAAACAGCAACTGGGTATTAGTACCAGCACCCAATTTGCAATGACGATCTGTAACTAAACCCAGCAACCTTGACTCTGGAAATGCTCAGAGGGTGTGACGAAGATTAAGGGAAATTTATTACAGTATGTGAGCATCAAGCAAGACACATACTAGATGTGACCTAGCAATCACTCACTAACTGTTGGTGATGACTATCATTGTTAACACTTACAGGACCAGAGGTAAGAAACAGCAGCATTTATGCTAGTCTTAGGAGCTGACTGCCTTGACCTATACAACAAATTTCCTGGGGACCTCCGGCCTTGAACAAACAAAAAAACAAAACATGAGCAGAGGCTTTGGGGAGAAATCAGCTGGCAAGGAGTGATGACGCAAATCTCCTCTCTCATGGGCAACAGAATTGAGAGGCTAAAATAGCAGTGGGCAGAATGTTCTAGATGACTGAGCTCACAGCACTGGAGGCAGAAGCAGAAGGTCTAGAAGGGATACTGTAGGTGATAGAATGGTTTGACTTGGAGGCTGCGGAGCCATGGTGACTAACAAGGGCACGTTAATCGTGTTGTCCGATTTCTTTTATTGCCTTTCTTCGTTTTTTAAAGGGTTGGAAACTATGTTGCATCTAAAGGACCTGAATCAGGGGAGGATAAGGCTGGGGGATGTGGGTGCCTCTTTTTCAGGCCGGCAGGCCAGGGCTTTGACATGAGACAGCCCCAATGTGAACTTCCGATCTCTTATTTCTTAGCTACACCTTCGCTGAGTAACGTAACCTCCTGATCCCCATTTCTTTGTGAAACAGGGGCAATCTTAGTTCCCATCATGAATGCTCAACGTATGGTGGTTATGAATATCGTACCTAAGTGCCTCAATAAGGGGATGTAATTTTTCACTTTGATTCTGGTTCTAGAATCAGGATGAACATCGAGGTTGGGAACGTTTCTCACACAGGAGCCATCATTTCCTGGTCATCCTCGGAGCCCTGCCTGGAGGACTATTACCATATTATGTATAGGCCCAACTGGAACAGCATCTTCTCCGGCTATCTTCGCTACAGCTTCCACCACGAGGAGAAGGTGCCTCGAACCATCAGCTCCGTGGTGCTGGAACACCTCGCCCCTTCCACTCTCTACTTCCTCTGCATCAGCTGCAAGAAGGCTGCCTTCCCCTATAGGCACTACTGCACCATGTTCCATACCCTGGATAAGAGTCCGCTGGCAGCTGGGAGCTCGCTGGTGGACCCCCAGATCTCCCTGTGGGTGTTGATGGCCATTCTGCTGGCCTGCTTCACAGCCGTCTTAGCTTTCATCTGCCTTCAGTTCTGGTGCATCCGTTGCCATGAGCCTCGATGGTCTTACAGAGCTGGCCACATGGAGGAAGCCAATGGGTTGGTGAGATGGCCAGAGGAGGCCCCCGCCCTTGGGCAGAGAGAGGAAGACCTGCAGGGCCTCCCCCTGGTGGAAATGCCGCGCAAGAACTCCGGAGCAGAAGCAGAACCAGAAGCCGAAGGGGAAGCCAACCAGGAAGACGGGGCTGATGAGGATGCCGCCAATCAGGATGTCCCCGACGTGGGAGCCTTACTGCAGGGTGGTGGGGGCGATCATGCTGCCATGCTGCCTCATTTTAGGGAGTGAGGGTTAGGGAGGAGGCGGCCTGCATCCTGTAGCTTAAAGCCCTCCATACAGTAGATCTTTGGTAAACATGTGTTCCTAGACCACCCTTCCGCCTCCCCTCAACGTTCTTGTCGAAGCTGTCCAGGGTCAGTGCTCCTGTGGGTCATGTGGGTTGGACGAATGCCCTATGACAAAGCTTCTCAAGCTGGAAAGCATATACCCCCAGAGTATGCCAAAGGAGAACATGGCATCTCTCAGGAGCGTCCGTTTAGGGGACCCCCGTTAGGAATGGAAAACAGCATTTTAACGCTTAAACAAACATGAATATATTATGGCACAGAAAGCAAAATTTGCATTACTTGATAAAACACAGTACTTTGAGGAAACTTTTGAGTTGAAGATGGGCTCTTTGGGGGTATGTTCTCAGTCAGCGGAGGTGGACGTCCTGTCCCCTCTGCTGTTGGGGGGATGATTTTGGAAAGATTGGGAAGCCTTGCTCTACAGTATTTTCCAGCTTTCAGGCTATCATATACCTCCTCGTACCCCATCTCCATTTTGTTTAAAACACGGGCTATCTTTACTATTATTAACAACATTTTTCTTTAAATCAACTCATTTTTAAAATCTAAACTGGATTTTAAAAGACTTATATGACTCCATAAATGAAAAACCAGTACCTCCTGCTATAAATAGAAGAGGCATAAGAATAAATACAATGGAAACAAAATAACATTAAGCTTGACTTAGATTCTATGGCCTACTAAAGACTCTGAGCTTAAGGTCTGCTCTCTTAGCTTCGACAAAAAAAGAGATTGGAGAACAGAAAGTATTAAAGACACATAAGCATCAACATAAATGTGTCTTTCTCCTTGTTATAATCACAAGGTTTGAAAGAGCTTTGGAAAGGAAGGTGTTGTTCTTACTTTGTGAGTCAGGGTCATTCAATGACATGTCTATGAACTACCCAAAATGCTGGTTCCAAGTGTCGTTGTTTAGAGAAAGCTGCCTTGACCAGACTGGCTGTCCTCGACAGGACATATGCACTGTCCCAGCATCATCCCAAGATGTCTAAGCCTGCCTGTAGGCCTAAGTGGTGGCAGCACATGGGTTCACCACACTTCCCAATCGAGGGTTCCCTGACCTAGAGGAGTACCTTTTCTTATATGTGATCAGTTCTTCTGGGTCCATCTGGGCTTACTTTTTGAAAATGGGGTCAAAGGTGGCCATTTGTATTCCATCACAAAGGAAAATGTTGTTTTCGCGGACATGTTTCACTCTTGCAGTGGCATTCTTCTCCTTCAAACCCACAGGATAAGAAACAGATCTCCTACATCTATCATAGTGTTGGTGAGACTCTGTGAACATTGCCCTCTGTCCCTACCACGGGTGTAGAAATTCGAGGAGGGTAGAGATGGTGTTTGTTTTAATCTCTGATACATCCCCAGCATGCAGAATCTAGTCCAATGTCTGGCTTATTGTGGGCGCTTAATAAATGTTTGCTTTATGAATGGCAAAGGACTGAAAGTCTAGAACAGGGCACCATTTGGGAGGCCTGGTTAATGTCAGGATGTGTATTGTGAACAAAGCAGCAGAGAGATGGGAGAAGACCTGTCTTCCAGCTCTAGCTCCAGCCTTTTGGGATTTCCTTCAGAACTCCACCTTCCCCATGGCTACCTGTCAGCAAAACCCTTGCCTTTCTGGAACACAAAATCCCAGAATCATACGAACACACTGCAGTGAATCAGCTGAGTAACAGGAGGACACAGGATGAAGACAAGAAGCCCCACACACCTACTTCCCTGCTCACCTCAGTGAAATCCTCCCAAATAATTCTCACCCAGCAAGCACCCTGCCAAGTCTGCTTTACCCCCAGCCTTGCTAGCTGTGCACAAATAAAGACGAGTATACTTACAGTTGGTTCTGCCTCTCTAGCTCTGTACCTTTTTATTTTTTCTGATTTGGGGAACACTTTTGTATTTGCTTAAGCTCACTAGTCTTCTTAGGAGGAGGACACAGGCAAGACTACTCACCTTGGATCCATAGAGGTAATAAGGCTGGACATTGGCGGGTTTATCTCTTTGCGGTTCTTGGGTAAAAGGAATGGCAGTTCGAACAAAACTAGTAGAGGAAAAGAGAGGGGGTGGGAGTTAACTGGGTCCTGAGAGCATTCTTCATGGGACACAACCCAGCCAGAGCCCTTCCTGACCAGATGCAACCACAGCGTTTCTAGGTGGCTGTCTGTAAAATGACTAAACTCTTATGACACACTCCCATTCATTCACCTGCTGTCTCCTTCCCATAGGTGGGAAAACCGTGGTCCAGACTCCCAGGCTAGCCTCTGGGCTATGGCTGCTCATAGGGACAGCGGGCAAGAAAGGGACCACTGGCTGGTCCTGGAAATGGCCTTCTCTGGGGCTCTGATCCCTCCCCCCACCCCCAGTTGGCTTCTTCAGAACAGAGTTCCACAAACTCTTTCTGGAAAGGCCCCGATAGGAAGTGTTCTCAGCTTTGCAAGCCAGATGGTCTCTGTCACCATTACTCAAGTGTGGCTCGTAGCGTGAAGTGCCCAGAAACGACTATAGATGAATGAGGATGGCGGGGTTCCAGTCAAACTTTATGAATTTCAAATGATTTTTCACTTGTCATCAAACTATAATTCTTTGGATTCTTTTTCCCAACTGTTCAAAAACGTCAATAGCATTCTTTGCTCCTGGGTTGTACAGAAACAGTTGGCAGCAAGATGTGGCCTGTGGGCGATCACTTGCAGACCTCTGCTTGAGAGGATTCAAAGTCCCAAATTGTTACAGAACCACAAGTCTGGCTTGCTAAGTGTGTGGGCTCAGGCTCATCTATGGGTTCCCTCCCAGCGCCTTCTCTTCACTCAGCACAGACTTATTGAATCCTGGCCGTGAACAGGCCCTGAGGGTACCGAGAGGACCTATAAACACATGCACGTTTGTGGGACCTCGTGGACTTGTTCTGCGGGTGAACATGTCTCTCCGCTTCCGGTAGGATTTAAACCTCTGTGAGGAATCCTCTATGAGGATAAGGTCATGTCCTCCCCTCAGTGCCTGACACAGGGCTGTGTGTGCCTACTTTGCATGAACGTATTCATGTATGTGGATATCATCATCGAAGTACCATTGGCTCAGAAGGCGCCATGCCTGCCCCTAGGCTGGGCTGTACTAACTTCCGCGGCACCGCCTCATTCCACTGGCGCCATTCCCACCATGCACTCTCGGCTCCTTGGAAACTTTGCCTGGAATAGTCTTCTCCTGTCTTTTCACCTTATTTACTCCTACTTACCCTTCACATCTCTACTCAAGCACTACTTGTCAGAGGAGGAAGCCTCTCTTGGGGTTCCCATCACTTCCCAGGCCAGATCAGGTGGCGGTGTTTTCTCTCTCACGACTGGGGCTTTCCTCCATCTCATAATTCACTCTTCCCATTTTTTTTGCCTGCATCCTCCTTGCCTGAAGGCCCTCAGAGGCAGGCTTGTTCCCTGTGGCCTCCCCACCCCCAGCACAGAGACTGTGTGGACACAGGGACTCCCGGAGACGCCTGTTCCAGGAAGGGACCGCTTCCCCGTCCCCCAGCCCACCCCGGCCCCCTGCGCACAGGGACTCCCTTACCGGTTGGTGGACCCGTTGTAGCAATAGTTGGGGAGGAAGTCGAAGTTCAGCTCCCAGAAGACGTGGAGGGTGATGCGGCCGTAGGGGGCAGACACGTTGTGGTTGGCCTCCCGGAACATGGCGTCGAAGCTGTCCAGGGTCATGTGCTTACAGAGCAGGCGGTGCGTGAGCCGGTTGATCTCCAGCAGCCACTCCAGCTCCTGCCGGAGAGAGCCCACAGCTGCTGAGGGTGTACACACACACCTTACGTGCTCCCCACACGGCCCGCTTCATCTCACGGCTTCCTCTCCCACGGGGGAGAGCCCCTCAGGCAAGCTCCCCACGCCTGACGGGAGACCACATGCGACCACATGCCCCTCTTCGGAGGAGGGATCCCCAGACTGTGCACAGGAAAGCTGCACGCCTGGCCTGGGAAGGGGGCCACAGACCACGCACGATTCCCGTCTGTACCCCCTTGGGTGGAGACATGCCCGCTTGCCTTCCAGTCTCCACACTGGTGAGGAAAAAGCTTGCTTCTCAGCGTTGCAAGTAAACAAAAGGAAGGTGGGCCTGGCCGTCACCAGGGGCTGTATGTCTGCCGTGCAGAAAGCTATCGTTTAAGAGTTATCACCTGTTACGTTCTTACTACTTGGTCAGACCACATGAAATTACTGTTTTTTTAGGTTAAATACCATTGAATAGGAGTAGTTTTGTGTGGTTCAATTTAATATACACCAAACAGTATCCTTGGCACTTAATGTGTCTTAACTCATTTAATGCTTAAGAAACCCCTTAACGCATTAGAGAAACGGAGGCTTGGAGAAGTTGAATCACTTGATTCCAAATCCAGGAAGCTGGGCTCCGAAGTCCATATCCTCAATCACTGTATACTACAGGACCCTTAAAACTAGCTGGAGGCAGAATGCCCCCTCCTTTGGGTTCCTCCTGGGTCTGCCGGTCACAGGGTTGGTTACGAGTTGGCAAAGGTTGCAGCTAAAAGCCGTGGGCCGAGGTTCCACGTGAGCTGTGGGCTGACTGCTTGGAACCCTGCCTTCAGGCAGAGAATGGGAGCAAAGCAGACAATATGCAGACACAACAGGTCACTGCATTCGTTGGCAAGTATAAGGAGGGGGAACCCTCTGGGCTGGCTTTAGTCCCCTGTCATTCTGCTATGGAAAAGAATCAAAGCACAGTCTTGTGCAGAGAGAAGCCGTCCCTCTTTGTGAGGCTCTAGGACACTCCCACATTGTTGTGGTCAAGCCCTCTTTGAGACAGGTACGACGGCTCCTGTTTCATAGAGGGGACACATGAGGCTCAGAGGGTGAAGTAACTCCAAAGTCACACAGAGAACACAGACCACGGTTTAGTGTGTGAACCCGGGTTTTCTGCCTTCAAATCACATGTGTTTGGGGCCCTCGGACAGAGCTGCCTGGAATAAAGAAGCAATTTGCTAAGAAAGCCCTTGGGAAAGTAATGATGATTACAGTAAAAATGGTCTGACAATTAAAAAAACTCCACGAACACTGGCAAGGGCAATGGACCAGAGGGCGGCTAGGAGGTGGGACAGCCACAGGGCCAGCTTCAGTGGCTGGGATAAGGAGCTCAGGTGCCTACAGTCGGTTATAGGACACAGCCCCACACCAGGGAATCAGTTTTGTTCTCATCGGCCCCAAGGCACCCCCATGCTGGCTGGGGTCCCAAGTGTGGCCAGGTGGAGGCCCCAGAACACACTTCCAACCTTGGAGCTTTGCCCTTCTCAAAGTCAGATGCTATGGCTCTAAACTGGGGGCGCAGAAGTGGATGGAAGCTGGCAAACTTCGACGGCTGTGGAAGCCAGCTAGCTCAGGGAAGGGAGATGGGCAGGGGCAGGTGGGATTCCTGGGGTCTGGGCTGCTGGCTGTGGCAAAATGTCTGGCCAGACAAGTGTGGAGCTGCTACTTAAATCCACAGAGCTGTTGCCTCCTCAGAATGGGCTCAGTGAGGCCAGCGCTCATGGTCTTTCAAAAGAAGGTCAAAATCTAGACTTCAGTTCTGGAATGGCAGCTGGAAGAGCAAGTCTCCAGACCCTGTGCACCGTGAAGTCGATGAAGGGCAGAGACACAGATTCACCACCCCTCAGCTTCAGTCTCTTGGGGCCTACCGAGCCGAACCCTTTGTGTCCATTCACTTCGGAAGGGTAAAAAAATGAAATATATAAAAAAAATGGAGTAAACGTCAATGACTGTATGGAGTCCCGTGCACACTGAGGGGCCGTATTACCAGGAAGATAACTGCCAATGAAGAACTAGGCAACAGTTTCTATTCTAATGTTCTGTGATTTTAAGTCTCACAAATGCGTGTCAGCATTTACACGGGAGACCGCAGGAGGTAATTCTCAACGCTGCTGATGTGGGGCTGCTGGAAACGTGGGTCCACTTCTCTCGCCACACAACAGTTTCTGATAGGTGATCCTATCGAGGATTCTGATAGGTAATCCAAGCCTTGTGTTGGCCTCACCGGTGTTCTTCCAGCCTTTAAATCACAAGAGGGCACTTGCCTCTGGGATGTGGAGCTCAGGGCATCAAGCTTGGCGCAGAAGGTTGAAAAGGCCTCATGAGTGGTTCAGCCGCCTTCTGAGAGGGTCTCAGTTTTCTGCAGTAGAGCTGGTTTACTGGGGACAACACAGAGAAGCAGAACTGGGGACATGAAACACCTAGTGGGGCAACTTCTGTGAAGGCTGGAGAGAGCTCTTGGATGGGAACCAGAAAAGCTGTGTCAGCCACACCGGACTGCTGACCAGCTCTGTGGCCCCAGGCGGGCGAGAAGAACAGGGGTCTCGAAGTCAGGTGCCGCGGGGCATGAAGGTCCTACATAGGAATGAGGTGTGCCAGCGGGGCTCAAGAGAGCACAGCCCGGCTGACGAGATCGTCTAGTCATTTCTAGATGATTGCTGCCATCTGGAAAGGCTGGTGTGAGGTTGCCAAAGCTTCTGCACTTTTATTCAGATTCTTCCAAATGTTAAATGTTGGCTCAAAATTTCACATGTGCTCTGCAGCCGAAACAAAACACAGCCTGCAAGCTGCCAGCCCTCAGATTCAGCATCGGATCTCTCCGGGAATCTATCTGCTTGACTGCGTAGGATGAGGACGGCTGACTGAAGAAATCTCTGTCACCCTCCCAGCTTGGCCTCATCAAGCTGCCTTCCCAACTCAGGATGGAGTTTCCAAGGTGGAGGGAAGGGCTGAGGGAGCAGATTCCTCAGGCTGTTTCTCAGAAAAGGCAGAAGCTTCTCAGCCAAGACCAGTAGGGACCTCCCGACCCCACAGAAGAGAGCATCCCTGGGGTCTCCTCTTCCTGGTCTTCGCAGGGAGTGGCTCCTCCCCGGGGGCTGATGTCCTCACCTGATAAACAACGGCTTTCACTGCTTGTTTTGATTTTGTTCTCAGCTAAAAGAACATTCAGTGCCTTTCAAGGGATGGGAAGAGGCTGTGGACACCCACACACACCCCAAACCAGTTTTTCCATGAGATATGCCCATTCATTACTGGACAGCTTGAAGATACCGATAAACAACAAAGATGAAAACAAAAAATCCCATCCCTTAGAGATGATCACTGCTAACATTCTGGCATCAACAAAGAAAAACCCATTCCTTCCTTCCTTTCAAGAAAAATCTACTTCTTAAAATAGATCTCCCAGAAGAACATGAGCTATATGGAAGTCTCCTAAAGTAACTGACCCCGGACTTAGGTGGGTAGATGGGGGCAAGTCCTTGTAGGAAACGCTGCTGAAAATTCACCCTGAGAATGTCTCATTGTGGCCCCAAATTTCTATGCTATCTTTTTTTTCCCTTTCTTTTTGTCACTTTTTTTTTTTCCAGAAGCTGTTATTTATTAAGTGCAAGGAAAAGAGTCATCCTTATAAAAACACTATATGATGGATTCTAATATTCCTCCATCGTGTAGATGGGGAAATGAGCCTGTAGAAATTAACTAATTGGCCAAAATTGCTGACTAGTAAGTGGCAGGTCCAGGACTGGGACCCCAGGTCTTTTTGACTCTAGAGCCCTAGTCTCTAGACACTTTTTTTTTTTTTTAAAAAACCACTTTGTCCATTTAAAAAACAAAATTTTTAAAATTTTGAAATAATTTTAGACTCACTTTTCTGTGAATGAAAAAGCAGAGTTCCTGCATATCCTTGACCCAATTTCCCCAATGTTAACAGCTTACATAACCTTGGCATAATTATTTAAAGTCGGAAAGTGACATTGGTCCCCTTCTATTAACTAAATGACACAACTTACTCAGATTTCACCAGATTCTCTATGAGGGTCCCTTTTTTTGTTCTATGATTCAATTTGGAATCCCACACTGCTTCTGGTTGTCATGTCTTCTTAGACTTTTTTCAATCACTGACATTTTTCAGTCTTTGTCTTTTTATGATCTGGGTGCTTTTGAAGAGTGCTGTTCATTTTTTAAATGCCATTTAATTGGGGTTTACCTGATATTTTCTCATGATTAGATTGAGAAGATGCCTTTCAGCAAGAATACCACAGAAGAATATACAGCAGGGGTTACATGAATATAGATTATCACCAGTGTTGTTGACTTTTGATGCTTGGTTAAGATGGTGTTCCCACGGTAAAATTACTAATCTTCCTTTTGGAGTTCATAAATATCTTGAAGGAGATCGTTTGAGACTATGCAAGAATCTGGCATCTTTTTTTGTTTGTTTTTTTGTTTTTTAAATTTCTGAGTAATTTTTAAAATTGTGGTCAGTTTTACATTTATATTTTTATTTTTATAAAAAATTCCATTTATATTTTATATTTTTATTTTAAAAAATATTTATATTTTTATATCTACAATGTAAGCAACAGAAAACTTACCACTGACACCATTTTTGAGTGTATAGTTGTGTGGCATTCAGTTCACTCACATGACTGTGCCACCATACCACCACTGAGCTCCAGAACTTAATTTCCCTCAACCAAAACTCCTTACACTAATACCCTTGTCCCCGGTAATCACCATCGCACTTTCTGTCTCTATGCATATGACTACTCTAAGGACCTCGTAATAAGAGGAACCATAAAATGTGCTTTTTAAAGTCCCACCTACTAATTTTAGCATCCATTGCTGGATTTTGCCCACAATTGTCACTGTGGCATTCTCATGGTGATTTTCTGTTTCTCTCATTCCTCCCACTCATCTGCTTTTGAAACATTAAAATCTTCTATTGATGCGGACTGGTTGATCAAGTTTTTTCTAATTCTTGTAGAGGAAGAATGCGCAGAGAGCATCTCAATGAAGGGAGCCTGCTCCTTGCTCGTGCATCAGAATCAACGACAGGGTTTCCAGATCCCAGTGCAAACTGGAAACGTGGAAACCCTTGTTAAAAAATTAAGGATTTCAAAATGGCAACGGCAGAGCAGTAAACCCAGCACAGAGCCCTTCTGACTCTACACCGCACACCCACAATGCCCACCCTGTGTGCAACCTTCCCTAGCTTCTCAGGACCTTCCCTGCACTGGCTCAGCTCTGTAGAAACCCAAAGGACAAGCAACTGTGCCCCAGGGCTAGGCATGTCAGAGATCTCAAGGCAATCAGGAGGGTAAGATCACTCTCATTCTTTTTAAGTCTCCTCCTCCCCCAACCCCATTCCATTCAGTTGGGAAAGAGACTAACTGCTTCTCTTCAACTAGCTCAGTACTAGGCTAGCAACGCCTCCAACTAGGCTTCAAGTCTAAGGAATCCCAGAGCAGAACTCCCACGGGCCCCCAGTCTCTTACCACGATGGAAGTCAGGTCCTCACTCTCGAAGCGGCTGATGGCCTGGTCCAAGGATTTATACATGGCAGCAGAGATGCGCTGGGTAATGAGTCTGTTCAAGTCAATTGATCTACCCAAAAGCTGCATGAAAGTGACAGAAAGAGAAGTTACTTAAGGTTCTCATAGGCACATGACAACTAAATGCAATGCAACATAAGAAATTGGATTAAAAGCATAAAGAACAGTACTGGGACAAATGGGGACTCTATGCAGAAAACAGTATTGTTAAATTTCCTGAGTATGATCATTCTATCTTGATTATGAGATAATGCCCTCATCCTTAGGAGATATATGCTGAGGTATTTATTCATGGGTAAAGTGTCATGACATCTGCAACTTACTCTCAAATGGCTAAGAAAAAGAGTTCATATATTTAAAACATAAATATAATTTAACGTTACATATATATGTATTCTTTTAAATTATTTATATATACTATATCTTTATATGCTACATTTATTTACTACTTATGTATTTATTTACTATTTATATGCTATTTCATTATATGTTATATTTATAATATATATTATATACTACTTTTATATTTATGTACTATTTACCTATATTTTAGACACATACACATGCATATTCATACACTGCTCTTGGCTAGGTGTCCAAGGATTATTCCTATTTTATTGTTTGTACTGTATTCGTGAGAAAGAAAAAAACATGTAAACCAATTGGGTAAAATATTAATGATCACAAATCTGCCTGTAGAGTATATATATATATGTTCATTGTGTTTTTCCTTCAACTCCTGTAAGTTTGAAATATAAGAAGCTGAGGAAAAATAGGGTGCCTCCAGACTGTTGGAAAAGGCTCAGGACAAGCTCCGGCACCCCATGCAATGTTGACATCCTAAATTTAGCCGTGAGGTCCTTCCCACAATGGTCCTGTGCCCCACCTCAATCACCGGAGAGTAGCAGCTCCCTCAATAAGGGCCTACTGCTGGCCTTTATGGGGATGAGTATACAAGCATGAGAATGCAGGGCTGGATGGAAAACGGAACTTCTGCTAATTCCCACCAGGGCACACACATGTGGGCATCATCCCAGATGCTGTGCAAATAGCAGTAAACATCTCGGTACCCGCTGTGTGCACTGCACTTTACTAGGTGCCCAAGGTTTATTCTGAACTGTTTTACTTTTTTTTTTCTTTCTATTTCCCTTTTGGGAGATTTTCTACCAACTGACTAAGACCCCCAGCAGGCACCTTGTGCACACCTGAAGCCCTCAGTATTTAATGTTCTGTGGCTAATTCTGGCTGCAACCGTAACTGATGGCTGTAATTTCCTGAGAGGCCAGAGGGAAAGCACTGAGCTCCTGCTGCTGACAGAGGTGAAGATATGCTTTTCCCTCTCATTATTTTCCTCTTCTCTTTGATTTCTCACGGCAATGAAAATGCCCAGGGTTTCCAGGGTAACCCCTTCCTCTGCACCTGGGGTACTTCTAGGCTGTGGACCTTCACCTGGGTCTGCCCCACAAACACCGTGGCCCACATCCTGAGCACGGCGGTCACGGCTTCAAGGCCGTACCAGCTCCTCGTGGCTGATAGCGGGAACATCTCGTATTTTGCCTGCCTGCCTCACGTGAACATTTTTTTTTCCTTAGTTATGATTTAATTTTTTTTCTTTTTTTTTCTCCTTTATTTTTTATAAACATATAATGTATTTTTATCCTCAGGGGTACAGGTCTGTGAATCGCCAGGTTTATACACGTCACAGCACATCACATACCCTCCCCTATGTCCATAACCCCAGCACCCTTTCCCAACCCCCCTCCCCCCAGCAACCCTCAGTTTGTTTTGTGAGATTAAGAGTCACTTATGGTTTGTCTCCCTCCCAATCCCATCTTGTTTCATTTATTCTTCTCCTACCCCCTTAATCCCCCCATGTTGCATCTCCAATTCCTCATATCAGGGAGATCATATGATAGCTGTCTTTCTCCGATTGACTTATTTCGCTAAGCATGATACCCTCTAGTTCTATCCATCACGTGAACATTTTTAAGCAGGAATATGTGTCTGAGCTCCTGCCAGCATTTATTGCCTCTACATCTGGAGTCAAATGTGAACAGAAAGCAACTCCACAAAAACAAACTGATTTCTAGCGTGGGCTTGGCGGACACGCTTCATTTCAAAGCCCGAAGCAGCCTGCCTTCGCTTGGACCAGCGTGCGGGCCCTGCTCAGGAAGAGATTTACCCGTTTCTGAGCGGCAGCCCCCATGGAAGGAAGTGAGCCACGGCTTATGACAAGACAAAGGCTTTGGTGGCCACGACTCCCTGGAGGTGAGCTGCAGATGGACTGAGAAGCCTAGAACTTGAACCACAGGATGTCAATGCCTCTTTATTGCTTGTAAGACTGAGGCTGTGCCACACCTATGCTCAGAAGTCCACACGGGTGGCATGCGGGGTGGAGAGTATGCAGTCCTGATCTCCAATCTCCCCGCTCACTTCACGGCTACTCTCTAGCCTGTCCCACTTGCCCTCTGGCTTCCTTCACTGTACCTGTACGTGTCTCTGTTTCAGCAGTGTTTCGTAGCGGTTGGACGGTGGGTACGGAATGATGACTCCATAATTCTTACATTCGGCCCTAAAACGTTTATCCAACAGGACACTGCAAGGGAGAAAAGTTACATAAGGACAGTAAACATGACCGTGGATGGTTTTCAGGCACCCAGCCACATCTATTTCCAACTAGAGGGTCTACTCTAGGAAGCGCTAGCTTATGTATTTCAATTACAACTGTTTTTTGCTTTAGAGCAAAATGCAGATTTCTTTTTAGCCACAAAGCTCAACATGAAGCATTATTTCTAAGTTGAAGACAAGAAACACAGAAGTGGAACCACTTCCCTCTTTTATTCATTTACCAAAAAAGCAATCGAGTGCATGCTTGTTATATCCCAGGGAATACTCTGGTACCGGGGACACAAAGTTCCTGTCCTCATGGAGCTTATGTCTAGTGAAGAGAAACTGGTAACTGGATAAACAGAGGAATAAAATAATTTCAGGGAAGAGGAAATAACTGCACGGCATTTATGACTTATCAGGCACACACCTGCGTGTACACAGTCATTTTTAATCTCATGACAATCTCCTGTAGATGTACTATTATCACTTTTCATACCGAGGTACAGACTGCAGAGTAATAGTGCTCTGAAACTAATAAAATATGATCATTCTGTGTTTGGAAGTCAGGGAAAGCCTCTCTGAAGCAGTCTGGCTGGCTGGACTCCCGAATGCTAAAAATATTAAGATCTGGGGGGGAGAGTGTTTCTGGCAGAGAAAAGCTGGTCAGCATGCATAAAGGACCAGGCATGCTGGAGACCATGATGCAAAAATGAATTGATAAAATTAACTTAGGGGGGGTGTCTAGGTGGCTCGGATTGTTAAGTGTCTGCCTTCAGCTGAGGTCATGATCCTGGGGTCCTGGGATCAAACCCTTTACTGGGCTCCGTGCTCAGTGGGGAGTCTGCTCCTCCTCTCCCTCTGCCCCTTCCCTGGCTTGTGCTTTCTCACTCCCTCACTCTTTTAAATAAATAAATAAAATTAAAAAAAAAAAAAAAGAAATTAACCTGGGGGCCAGATCACATGGGACGTCAACCACAGTAAAGAAGTTAGATTTTTCGGGGCGCCTGGGTGGCTCAGTGGGTTAAGCCTCTGCCTTCAGCTCTGGTCATGATCTCAGGGTCTTGGGATCGAGCCCCGCATCGGGCTCTCTGCTTGGCGGTGAGCCTGCTTCCCCCTCTCTCTGCCTGCCTCTCTGCCTACTTGTGATCTCTCTCTCTCTCTCTGTGTCAAATAAATAAATAAAATCTTAAAAAAAAAAAAAAAGAAGTTAGATTTTTCTAGATGTCACTGGCAGCCATTGAAGGGCTTTAGGTAGGAAAGTGACGTCATCTGAGTCTACACCATCAGGCACAGACAGCGGCCACCAGTTACGGGAGCTTACTGAGCACCTGCAATGTGGTGAGTCTGGGTGGAGATGTGCTAGCAGTATAAAGCACGCACTAGATTTTGAAGACTTAGAAAAAAAACAAGAAAACTAGCTCTTTAATAATCTGTATATTGATTTCATGTTGAACCTATATTTTAGATATATTGGATTATATAACATATATTACTCAAATTAATTTCACCTATTATTCTTTCCTTTTAAAAATATGGCTATAAAAAATGTAAAATGACACTTGTGGCTCACATTTGTGGTTCCACTGCATTTCTAATGGACAGCACTGACCTGGATCATTCTCTCCCTGCCGTGCTTTCTGGGACTCTCCTCACCTCTCTCAATCTCGCCCAGCCCCCCATAATTTTGGAAACCATTGATCTTACAGGGAGTAGTACAGATTCAGGGGCATTTTTCAGATTAGAATATTCTGTAAACTCAATATGCAAAGACCCAGGGTTTGGCAAGCCTGAGTTTGTATATACAGCATATTTGAAAGGAGAATCATCTTAGAGACACTGGAAGCCCAGCTCCCTGTTGTAACTGCATCCTATACAACCCAGATACGTGCTAAGTGACTACTTCATGGAAGGCTGTGTAACCTGTGTCTTCCCTGGAAGTACATGCTTTGTGTACTTTCCATCATCAAGAGCTGTTCACTTCATTCAGTGTGCATCTGTGTTAACAGAAACTGGTGTGTTCTGACATCAACTCCTATCTGAAGTATGTCAGACCAACTCTAGCTGTCAAAGCAAAAGGAAGCAAATGCCCCATGTGGAAAGAAAAATAATTTATGACAGTTGAGTAACTATTCTTGACACAACTGGTTTGTACATTGGGTTTCCAGTAAGAAGGGAGATACCTATTTTGAGGTTTTTCTTGACCGGTACTGTTATGGGTTCTTGAAACCCAGGAATTCACTCAATCCACACATACTGGCACTACCAATGAGCCTCCCAACCCATGAAAAGTATCTTACCCCGACTTCTTCACCAGTCTCCTATCTGGCCTTTATATACCTATTCTTGCTCACCACCAATCCATTCTCCACATTTTTGTTTTTTACAAGGGAAAATTTTTAAAAATAAAAATTGAATTCGGTCCCTGTCATTCTTTTGAAATCATCCTGGGAGATTCGATTCCTCCTAGAGAAATGCCTACAAGCCTCATCACGTGAGCCTGGCCTACACAGCTGCCTGTGTAGCTTTATTGTGCAGCTTGCCTCCTCTTGTGGCCTGTGGACGAGACATTACAGGAACTAACTCACAGTAACGGTCTCAACTGCCCTATGGAGTGGGCATGCTGTCAGTACAATATTTCTGCCACAGGGACTTTGCACAAGCAGTTCCTCTGCCTGCAACTTCCTGTCCCATCCTTAGTTTTATTTAATGTCTATAACTTCAGATAAGAACTCAAAGGTCACTTTCTTAGGACAGCCTTTCCAGTTCCTCACCCCAAAGACTAGTTCTGGTTTAACTGTCATAGATTCGCAGATGACCATGAATGTTTCCTTCGTGGGAAGCACGCAACCTCACTTTTGTTGTGCTCTTATTGGTTTGTATTAATGTCTGATATCCCTCCTAAACTGTAAGCTCCATGAAGGGCAGCACCAAACCTGCCTATTTTCCTTTCTTCCATATTTTAGCACCCAATCCAGGCCCACAGGATAGCTCAGTGGCTAAAGAAGAAGAGAGGATTTATGACAGGAAACCATGTCTCACAGGTGGCCAGCTGAGAACACTTGCTGCTCACAGCCCCGGGACCCTCGTACCTGCCAGCCATGGCTTTGTAGTAGGCAAAGATCTGGTCCGCCAGCTTGTAGACAAACTGATCAAAGCACAGGTTCACCTGGGGACAGGGAAGCAGGAACGTCAGCTGCGCGTGTCTAGCTTACATTATACGTGAGACGCAAGGGGATAGCTGGGTGGTATTGTGTGCTGTGGGGCAAGACACTTTGAATAGCAAAAAAAAAAAAAAAAAAAAGATCCTGGAGTTAAGTAAGTTAAGAGGTTTGGTCCCTCACTTTCAAGGCCCTTAGGCAAAAAGAAGGCAAAGTTCAAAGAGCTGTTGGGGAACTGCCCTCCCCGGGGAAGGCAAGATAGCTCTTCATACCCTATAGTGGCTCACATCATTCCACCCATCCTCTCTCCTGCTGGACTTCCTCACCTTTCCCCTTCACTCTATTTGCCCTTGCTTGACCAAGGAAGAATTGGATGGTCCTTGGAAACTGAAAAATCTCTTTTTTCCAAACTTAAAGTTTCATTAAAAACCTTTGGTTCTTAATGAATATGGAATGCTTGTGCCATTTCAGCAACTCGTCACATCGGTGGCAGACTGTGAGGCTTGGGTGAGATGTTCATGTCGGACACAGGATGAAAACCAAACTGTCCACGGAGAGCAAGAAGCAGCCAAGGGTGGGGCTTCGATGAGCCGGGGCTGCGTGGTGGCAGGGTGCCGTGGGACTGCCCAATGGAGCCCATTTAGGTGACTGATCTTCCAAATTCTCAGCTCCGGAAGGTTAATTATTTATCTGAGGAGCTCCCGTATCTCTGATTTTACATCCCAGATGTTATTCTGAACATGCAACCCAGAGCTGTGTGCAGCTCTGCCCTCATCTGCAGGGAACCAAGGCCTCTGCTCTGGACTTTGTGTTTCAAGGGTCCCCACTGGGCCATACTCCAGCTGAAGAACCTGCAGAGTCAAGGTCAGGGTACCCACTCATACCCTAAGCCTTGAGTGCCCTTGCCCCAGAAGCCCAAGCCCCTTCCAGGCCTGTCTGCTGTTCTCCCTAGGATCACCCCTGAGGGTGGACCCCACGGCAGGTGTCGGGGGTTAGCTCAGGGGCCACGGTTTGTGGGCAGCGGTGGCAGCCACAGCTTGGCTATCCACACACGTGCACACGAGGCTCTTCGTCGTGCAGAACAGAGTTAGGGGATAGGAAGAGAAAGGGGGCAGGCCACAAGTTGGGGGTCTCGATGTGTACTTTGGCCGCATGCCCTCGAAATATTACCCAGGGCCTGGTTGCGTGCTTTCTTTCCATTTATTTTAAAAAGCTCACTTGGCCACATGACACTCTAGATCTGTTTCGTTTTTCACCTGCTGGAGAACACAATTATATAAGATCGTGTCAGAACATGAAGTTGTCAGAGCTGAGATGTAACCCGTTCACTGGTCTCCTGGAATCTCTCTTCCCAAGTCTGTGCTTGGCAGAAGAGATCTGTATTGGGGCCCATGAAGATCTTCAACTCCCACAGAAATCGGAGGCTAGAGAAAGCCAGCAGCATCTCTACTAGATCTCCTTTGAGATACACATAAGCTGTCAGACTAAGTTGGTGGCGAAACGTTCATGTCTTTCCTTTATAAATAAGAATGTGGGGTGCCTGGGCGGCTCAGTGGGGTAAGCCTCTGCCTTCAGCTCAGGTCATGATCTCAGGGTCCTGGGATCAAGCCCCGCATCAGGCTCTCTGCTCAGTGGGGAGCCTGCTTCCCCCCTCTCTCTGTCTGTTTCTCTGCCTACTTGTGATCTCAAATAAATAAATATTTTTTATTAAAAAAAAAAAAGAAAGAAAGAATGTCATAAATTTCTATGACATTTTCACCTAATGGGCCTCAGTCTGTGTTTACATAGTCCCATGCAGTTAAGCCGAACCGAGACTACCATCCCAGTTCCCAGAAGGCAAAACTGAGAAAGTTTGGTAGCCATCACTACCATTGGCCTCGTGCTTCTGGTCCTTGCATGTGGCAGGGTTGTACTTCCTTGCTCCTCTCTGAAAAGGAGGTGTGGTCATGAGACTTGCTTTGACCAATGACATGTGTCATTTCCAGGTGGAAGCTTTAAGTACCAGGAACACCTCCCCCTGCCACGGCAATTAGTGAAAGTTCCACATGTGTCCCGACTTGAAGACTATGTGGACCAGAGTCCCCAACCAACCCGTAATGGAGAAATAAGCTTTTGATTTCAAGGTACTAAGAACTTGTGATTATTTGTTACTGCAGCATAACCTAGCTTATCCTGTTCGTCAGAGAAATAAAGCTACTGAGTGACTCTCTAATAAACAACTTATAGTTGGAAGGATTGTTTCTTCAGTCCTAGTAGTACTAGCAAGTGACACCCTAAGCTGTGTGACCTTGGCATAACAATAACTGACCACTTCAAGTCTAAGACTTATTACTTGTAAAACAGATAATAGCATACACCTCCTTAAATTGCTGTAAAGGTTATTGAAAAAGTCTCTCTCTACCATGGTTAACCCTGCACCTGGCAAGTTGTAAATGTATAAATACTGATACATGATATTGCTGTTGTTATTATTATTATTAGCCAAATAATTCAACCATAAAAGACCTATTAGAAAATTAATTTTACTCATGCAGTTCCATCATCTGCCATCCCTTAATACATTTGAAAAAAGAAAGACCATCCTCCTGGTCTGGGTCCTATTTGATGATCATGATTTGCAAAGACCACCCTCCATGTAGTGAATGATATTATAATAGCTCTGAGTGGGGACAAGTGGGAGCTCATCTGTGGTGAGCACAGCAGGATACACATAGTTGTAGAATCACTGCCTTTTACACCTAAGACTAATGTAACATTTGGTGTCAACTGTACTGCAATCTTAAAGAAAAAGTCATAAAAAGAGATTATTCTCCAGAACCAGTCACTGATCCCGCACTGCTGCAGTCTGAATGTGTGTGTTCCCCCAAAATTCGTATGTTGAGATTCTATCCCCCAAAGTGAGGGTATTAGATGGTGGAGCTTTTGGGAAGTGATGAGGTCATGAGGGTAGATCCTTCATGAATGGGAATAGTGCTTTATAAGAGAGAGACCGGGGGCACCTGGGTGGCTCTGTCGGTTAAGTGTCCAAGAGATTGGGTGTGGTGAGAACAAGCCCCACACTGTGCTCTATGCTCGGCGTGGAGTCTGCTCGAGATATTCTCCCTCGGCCCCTCCCTCCAGTTGTGTGCATGCACTCTTTCTCTCTAAAATAAATAAACACATAAAATCTTTAAAAAAAGAATGAAAAAAAAAAAAAAAAAAGAATGAGCGTGAGGGCGCCTGGGTGGCTCAGTGGGTTAAAGCCTCTGCCTTCAGCTCAGGTCATGATCCCAGGGTCCTGGGATTGAGTCCCACATCAGGCTCTCTGCTCAGCGGGGAGCCTGCTTCCTCCTCTCTCTCTGCCTGCCTCTCTGCCTACTTGTGATCTCTGTCTGTCCAATAAACAAATAAAAATCTTAAAAAAAAAAAAAAAAGAATGAGAGTGAGACCGCAGAGAGCTCCCGCACCCCTTCCACTATGCAAGGACTATGAGAAGTCTGTGACCCAGAAAGATGCCCTCACCCAACAGTGCTGGCTCCCTGATCTAGACTTCCAGCCTCCACAACAGTGAGAAACACATTTCTGCTGTTTATAAACCACTCGGTCTGGGGTAGTTTGGTACAGCAGCCTTCGAGTGTACTAAGACAGCCCACTTTGTGCTGATAGCTACAGATTGAAAAAGTCCAGACTCTAGGATTAAGATTACAGGAACAAAAGAAGCGTATCACTTGCCTCAGCTTCAATCTCATCGTACAGGAACTGCTTTTTAAACTTGGTCAGAGCATAGTAGGCGCTGTCATTGTACAGGTCCAAGGGGTAGAGGACGTACCTGAAGAGAGAAAAGCAGAGGCGGCAGCTTACTAATCTCTCCGAAGACAAGCCGACTGATGCAGCTTGGGAAACACAAAGGGTTGGGTGAACACGGGAACAAGCTCGGGGTCGGGAAGAGAGAGCCTCCCAGCATTCGGATGTTTCCAGGCTGCCTCAGGAATGCCTTACTTTACAGTCTGCCTGTAGAAATTGAGCATTCATGATGCTAATAAATCCAAGGCCTGAAAAAATGAGTCTGGGACCAAAAGAAACGAGGTGGCAGTTAAGGACATTAGCTTCCTGGTCCCCAGAGATGACTATCTTCCAAGCACAGCTGCTTTGAGATGGACAGAACCCAGGAAGGGCAGCTGGGCCGGTACAACCCTGAGCCTATCTGCAAGGCTGAGTCAAATCTGGTGTGACCTGATCCTTGGGACGAGCGTTCTCCCTAGAAGGGCACACTGCCTGATCTGGAAAGTTCTGGAAAGAACAGAGCTCTGTAGCAAACTACTCTCCATCTACACCCTGGGAACCTCCTTGCGGACCCAAGCCTGCCTCTTACTCCATCATGGAAGGTTCTTTGGTTTCCAGGATATGGTCTGTTAGAATCCAGGGCATGGACATCTCAATTGGGAACTGGATTCGCCGGCCCATGGTTAACTCCAGGAAGAATTCTCGGAACCACAGTTGAGAGAGGTCACAACACTGCTGCAGGGCTTCTGAAAGCATAAAGGAGAGAGTCATGGCTCATACACGAGAAGCACCAAAAGATCTTTGCTCTTATTGTTATTAACTTGTTCTTACTGCTTTTTTGTTCTTACCCCTACACTACTACACACCAAGTGCTCATAAGTACAACTTGATCAGTAGGTCCCACTCGCTTTTACCTGGAGGTCAGTCTAATATCTATTTAGAAAACAGCATTTGTTAAGCTCATGGTAGCAGCCCCAGGCAGGAGGAGAGCAGTGATGTTTTAGAAATGTAGAGGTGCCCGTAATCTCCATGATCCCCCTACAAGGCCATCCTAAAAACTCACAGTCAGGCCTCCTTGTACGTGGTAATTCTGGCTTCTATCTGCTTAAACTGGTCTGCATTCTGATGGAGAAGTTCTCAGTAACGACAGACGCATTATCCCTCCCACGTCCCTGGATGCCGCTCTCCCTCCCCCTTGCCCTATCCCACCTGCACAGTCGTCCTGCTAACAGGGACACAGGAAACGGGGACACAGGGCTGGGTGTAGCCTGGAAGCCTCCTTCGCTACAAGCAGCAAGACTCATCAGCTCAAAGCTACTGCTTGGAAACAAAAGACTGACCGAATGCCTGGTCATTGTGGGTGTGCTGCTGATTTTAATAAAGTCCTTAGTAGAGGGGACTAAGACTGGACAAATTTAACAGAGTGAGAATAGCTGGACTGAGTCTGGCCTTTCCAAGCCCGCCAGAAAGGGTGCATTTTTTTTTAATCTCGGTAGCAAAATGTGCCTCTTTTGATCAATGACCACGTTTTTTGGGCTTGTTGTTGTTGTTTGTTTGTTTGTCTTCTTTTGCAACTTTTGGTCCAAAGCCTTAGTGGGTCTGGGACCGGGGACCCTCGCCCTCTCCCCGCTGCCTGGACGCGGCGGCTCACCACTAATATTGAGCAGGTGCGTGAAGAAGAAGGACTGCTTGTGGAAGTCCTCTATGGCGAGGACGATGGGTCCGTCAAGGCTGCTTCTCAGGGTCTTCTTGGAGCCACTTTTGTCTGCGATGAGCGATTCAAGCATGGTCCGCACCATGTACAGCTTGAAAAAGAAAGTAAGACGAGAAGGTCAGGGGCTGGCCCTCCACCCTGGGGTCAAGGTCTCTGAGCTGTATTTATGTTTTTCTTTTTTTCTGCAGATGTCTGCTCTTAAAAAGCACTGTCTTAAGGAAGCACCAGTTTAGGGTTGGAGAAGTGAATCTGGAACATGTGAACCCTCAGGAGGGAGACTGGCCAGCCCAGGAAGGAAAGTCTGCCCAGGGCCTGATACGAAGTCATTCAAGGCCCAGGTTTTTGCCCATTCTGCTTGGCCAAGGGTGTGGGCATCAGAGGAGAACCCCAGTTCACATCACTCTGGAGTCAGTCTCTGCTTTACTGGTTGGCTGGGTGGCACCATGGGTAGAGCCCTGGACTTGGGTCTAGGGCCAGGCACTGCTACTGTCTTGCTGTGTGATCTTGGGCAACAAAGTCCCAATTTGGGCCTCAGTTTTCTTATCTGCTAACATGAGGGGTTGCACCAGATGCTTTCTCAAACCAGTCCCTTCCAGCTCTAATATTTTGAGGAACTGCGAAATGCCATTTGATCAGAGCAAGCCCCCCACCCCACCACCTCAAGCTCCTGATCCTTAGCACTTTGAATCCATTGCTGAGGATGGCGCCCTCTGGTGGCGCCATCTGCATCGCACAGCCAACCAAAATCCTGGGTGGAAAGCGGGTAAAGACAGGTACTTACACAGGAGGTCTACTAGACAACCAACTCCCACTTACAGAGGGCCTTAAGTGCAAAGGGTGCAAGTGCTAATCTAGATCTTTCCACATCATATGCCTTTGAATCTTAGGGCTGGAAGGGGCCTTGAGGAGCCAGGCTAGTCCATTCCTGCTGCCTCCTGGAGAAGTGTACCCCAACCAACCCAGCCAGGCGGTGTTATACCAGGGATCGGCAGCCTCTTCGGCCCTGTGTGCCACCAGTGGGGTGAAACAAAGCCCGCGGGGACCACTGGCAGGCCTAAGACATAGATAGGAGAAAGGAGGAGGGGATGGGAGGGCAGGAGAGACAGGGAAGAGGGAGAGAGAGAAGAGAGAGAGAGAGAGAGAAAAGCAAGAGGTATTGTATACGGTGGGAAAGCCGCCGCGAGTGCTAGGGGCCACTTGCCGACCACCTCTCAGAAGCTCCAACCTCCCTCTGCCACCACATCCGCCCTGGCTGCCTCCGGATCTCCTCCAGGACCATCCCCACCATGAGCCTGGCCCCAGGGCCAGGCAGTGCAGCCACATAGGGGAGGGGCGCAGTGCCCCTACCGCAGCGCTTCCCATGATGGTCCACGAGCTAGTACAGTGGCTGGTCCACCCTCGCCAGCCCCATGGAGGGGTGGGCCTGATCATCCCTCAGCACTGAGAAGCACCGTTCTTATGATGGCCTTGGGAGTTATCCAGAAAAGGATTCCTCAAGTACAATCCATGTGGGATTGATGGATTTGTATCGAATTCTATTTAAAAATCCATCCTCTCCCCACCTCCTTCTACTGAACAAGGCGTCAGCCAACATCCCAGCTGGGCTAGGTGCCCCTGTCTACTATGCTCGGAAGGCCCTCACAGAGCCCCGGGGTGGGAGTCAGGAGACCTGGGTTCTTGTCCCACCTCCACCTGTGACTCGCCTTGTGACTTAGACAAGTCACTTCCCCTCTCTGGACCTCAGTTTCCCCATCTGTAAAACAGGGAGGATACTGGGACTCGCTTGTCTCTAAGGGCTCTTCCAACTCTGACTGTTGGGGTCTACCCAATGCACCCGTGCCACCTCAAAGGATTCGGCGGTGGTGGGGGGTTAACTCCTGGTTACACTCCCCTCTCAGACCACCTGTATAGACACTCCTTCCACTCCTCTGCTTCTCTCCCTCCCTCTCTGCCTGTTTGACCCTTCGCCTCATCCTCCTTTCCTGTTTCCCTTCTGCCTTGTCCGTGTCTTCCTCACTCAAGTCTTGGGACTTACAGACACACCCAAAAGCCCTGCTTAGCCCCTCCAGGATATTCTAGGCTGGAAAGGCCTCTGGTCCTGGACATTACACAGAAGTGTTTATAGAAGCTTCCTTGGGATTTCCAAGACCAACAAGATTAGTGCACACTGGCCCACAGGCTCTGAAGCCAAGGGAAGTTACAGTGCTGAGAAGCCGTCCTGCCCCATCCCTCCTCCCCAGACACAGACACATACACACACACACACTCACATAGAAGGGGGGTGGTGGGCTCAGACAGCTCATCTCAGATGGTTCAGATTCATGGCTGCAGAGCTGAGACCGGCTGAAAGGTCACGTCAAGGGGGAGCTCCTGTAAGACCCCTGAACATTTGATGGACCCTTATGCTTTTTTTCCAATACCTCAAAGAGCCTACCAGGAATTGCTTATCCTTAAGGAAGTGACAAGGATTCAACCAAGATGCCCAGATTCTTTTTGACTTTGTGTGTGTGTGTGTGTGTGTGTGTGTGTGTGTGTAATTTAATGACTACTCTGGGTAAATCACAGGCGACCTCTTGTTCAGAAACTTTGCTTAGCCACTCTGAATATCTCCGATTACTAGGCTTTCTCTAAGGGGTCAGGCTTCTGATACTTGTGCATTTGAGGGGATAATAGTAATAATGTTTGGTCGGGAACACGATCTCCTTCAGATTTTTCACCAAATGGAGATGATAATCAGAGTACAGAGAGATCACGGTGCTTGCCCAAGATCACACAGCACGTCAGAGGCTGAGCTCCTCAGTTCCCAAGCTAGGATGTCAATGCAGGGTGAGGGGGCCCGGGTTCAGTGAAGAGGGACAGCATAGATGCATACAGAGTCTACTGGAAACTCCTCCTACACTTTGAAGCCTATACTTCACAGGGCTAGGAGAGAGCCAGTCCTGATATGACCCCCATTTGCCAGATTAGACAACTGAGGCACAAAGAGACTGTACAGCGTGCCTGACGTCACATGGGTTTCTAGGACTAGAATCCAGGTCTCCTGAATCTTAAGCTGGTAGTCCTCCCTCCTGTATTAAAACAAGTTGGCAGAGTAAGACTAGCGCTGCTGGGGACCCTGCCCTCCTGCCTGAAGCCCCCTGCCCCTGAGCTACCATGGCCTGGCTGGCCTCAGAGCCACTTACCTGTGTGCTGGAGGGCCCCACAGCACGCCGGGGCACCTTGATGTCAAATCCCCCCTTGGGATCCTTCTCCCCTCTCAAGCATGGGTCATTGGGGGGCTCTCGGCCCCCCTCCCAGTCACAGATGGTTTTTCGAATTGCCTGTAGGACACTGGGAAGGAAGAACCGATACTCAGACCTGGCTTTAGCATTGGAAGGAGGCCCTGCAAGTCTGTTTCTGGAGTCTGTGATGGTCCAGGACACCCTGTCTTAGAAATCCTGGGCACTGTGGAAGTACACTCATTCCTGCCCCCACCCCCAAAAGGTTCTGGTTTCCCAGGCTTGAGCCACGGTCCACAAGTCTGCTCTTCAATAAGCACCACAGGGGACTCTGATGCCCACTGGCTATTTTTCCTTCTCATTACAGGGGAGTTTCATTAGTCCAATTACATCTCCGTATATTTGAAGTTTTAATAATAGCTTACATTTGTTGCATACTTACTCCGTGCTGCCGTGTGCTTAGGTCAACACACTGATTACCTCAGTTTATCATCCCAATAGCCAATGAAGTAAGTACCATTATATTCCACATTCCACAAATGAGGAAAACTGAGGTTCAGAGGAAGTATGTTACTTGACTAAGTGCACACAGTTAGTGATGGGTATAGACTTCAACCCCAGAGCCTGAGGCTTGATTCATTTCAAATGTCTGATCTCCTAAGGAGGCCTTCTAGAACTTGCTGGAACTTGCTAGAAAGGTCTGTGTATGTGCAGAGGTGGTGCTCAAGCTAACTGAGCCAGGAACTTCCCCTGTGGTCTGGACCCACCTCTGATTTTTGATGTGACCCCTGGAAAGGGCCATCTGAAGACCCACCTGATAAGAACGTTCTTCTTCTTCCGCACTGCCTGTCTCAGGGGCTCACGCAGAGTCACCTGGGCGAAGTCCTGCAGGGCTGCATAGATGGTGTTCCTGATGGCCTGGTTGAAGACGCTCTCCATCCTGCCCATGAGGACCTGGAGGCCTTTGATCATGGCGATCACCTGGCCGGGCACAGATCAAGGTCAGGCTCACTGGGCCTCAGCTTACCTATCCATCCAGCACCCTCCACCAGAGTGCAGGAAGGGTGCTGCGTGAGATGTCCAGAAGCGAGAGGCCGGCGCCATTCAAAGTGCCAGTTCACAGCAAGGTGAGAGACGTGTGCCAGAATGGAGAGGAGCGCTCTGCTTCCTGCATCAGACAAGTCTTGCTGTAAGCAGAGATGTCAGCTAAATGGAACCGTGACCTTCACGATGCGGCTGACGTCCACTCTGACACCAGCTCCCCATCTTAGTGCTGACGGCTGACCAACAGCAGCCAGTTCATGGTTCTCTGATTTCCAGAGACCTCTCTACCTACCATGCACCCACAGACTGTGTCAAATAGACCTTTGTTTGACCATAATATTTTTTATAGAATTTTTACAATCTTTGCCTTTGAAAAAACTTGGCCATTTGCTGCTTGAGTCCAGAGAGCTTCCTCCTGTGACATAAAATCTCTACAGAAGTCTCGGGTGAGGGGAAGCGTCTGCCCTTCTGTTTGCTGCTTCCCTAGTCCCTTCACCTGCTCCCCCGGCTGCAGACACGGGGAGACACGTATTTGGGATGAGTGTATCCTGGCCCGCCTTGGCGTGTGCATGTACCTTCTCTCCCGAGTTCCTCTCTTCTCTGAGCAATTACTCCTCCCTCCCTGTCCCAAGGAAGAGAGGCATGTGTTTCTGCCATTGCTTTGTCGGTTTCCCAGTAGGTAAGTTTAATGGGGTGGAGGAGGAATAAGAAGTCTTGGGTGGCCTTGGGTACAAGCCACATCCCTAGTCTAGCTTCCCCAGCAACAAGCCTGAGCCTTTGGCCCCTATCAGCCACAAGTGGTAATATCTAGGGTGATTCAGAATTCAGAGGGTACAGCGCAAGCCATGTCAGCCCCCGACATGATGGGTCAGGTCTGATGACATGACAGCAGGTCCTCATGATGATGTCCCAGACTCCCAGGCTCTGCTCTGGGCTCTCAGTGCACAGGGGCAAGGCCCAGAGACGCCCTGCATGCCCTATGCCCACCGCTTGGGCCTGTAGTGAGCCATCAGAATATTTTTGTTGAAAAGGAATGAATAAGGCAATGAATGAGTTTACATGCTAAGATGTTTTCTTCCTCTAAACCTTAAAGGAATAATAGAACATATATCTGAGTCAGAGAAAAGGGTGAGAACAAAGTTCAGGAGGTGAGGATTTTCATTAGAACAACAAATATAGTGGTTTTGCTGGAGAGAAGCTTTAGTGCAGAGAGATAATGGGACAGAAGCCTTAAGGGAAAGTTACATCACGAAAGCATCTGGGTTTCTGGCTAGAGACGTACTAGGAAATAATGAGACAAAGGAAGGAAGAGATAATGGAGATGTTTCAGAATAATTCCAAACACAGCAGAGTGTACAGATCTGTTACACCTAAGGGAAAATCTTTGCAACTCTGGGTGAGGCAGAGATTTCCTAGCTAGAACACAAAAATCACAAACTATAAAATAACTGATAAGTCGGACTTTATCAAAATTAAAAACAGCTGTTCTTCAAAAGGTACCCCCCCCAAGAAAATGAAAAGACAAAGTCACCAATTAGAAAAAATAGTTACAACATATATATGACTAGAGACTTGTATCTGCAGCAAAGATTCTTATAATTCAATACAAAGAAGACAGAAACCCAATTTTAAAAATTTTAAAAATGGGCAAAAGATTTCAGAAGACAGGATTTCGCAGGGAAGATAGAAGAGTGACCAGTAAGCCCATGCAAAGATGCCCAATGTCATCGGTCTTCAGGGAAAGGCAAGTTCAAACCTCAACTCAACAGCCACTCGAATGACTAAAGTTAATAAAATGAACCGTGTCAAGGACTGGGAGGGTGTGGAGCAAAAGCGCTCTCAGATACAGTCGGCAGAAACATGAAACGGCACACGCGTTTTGGAAAACCACTGGGCAGTTCCTTAAAAAGTTAAGCATTCACCGACCCTACGACCATTCCGAGAGAAAGAAAAACCTACATCGACACGAAGACTTCGGCACAAATCCTTAAAGCGACTTCAGTCATACTGGCCCAAAGGTGGAAATGCCTGATGTTTATCAACAGCTGAATGGGTAAGCAAATCACAGTATGTATCCATACAACAGAATACTACTCGACAAGAAAAAGAAACAAACGATCGATACACAGAACAACGAGGATAAAACTCAAAATTGTGGTGGTGAGTCAAAGAAGCCAAACACAAAAAATACCAACCAAACAAAAGGATAAGAAATATGGTAATAAAAGAAAGTGAGCAACACAAAGTCTTTAAGGGGACCATGGCTGCCACCCTGCTCAGAAGCACTCCTGGAGCCACCAGGATCGACACCAAGCAGCAGCCTCGGGGTGGGGGCAGGGGCAGGGGAGGCAAGGGGTCAGCACCCACCTCGACGAAGGCGAACTTCTCCTCACTGGTATAGTTGTAGCGTGTGGCTCTCTCATACTCCTCCGCCGTGCCAGGGCAATCCTTGTTGCAGAACTTGTCTGTCGGGTGAACCAGCTTCCAGGAGTACTGGGGAGAGAGGGAAAACCCAAACTCCATCAGCTGATGAAGGGGAAAACCAAATGTGGTGCGTCCATGCAGGGGAGTATGACTCGGTCATAAAAGGGAATGAAGTTCTGATTCATGCTCTAACACAGATCCTGGTTGAAGGCAAGAAGTGAAAGAAACCAGACGCAAATAGCCACAAAGTATACGATCCTACTTGTGGGAAACATACAGAAGAGGGAAATCTTTAGAGACAGAGACAGATTGCTCAGGGCTGTGGGGATCGGGAATGGGGGCTGACTGCACCGGGTTTCTTTTGGAACTGATAAAAATATTCTAAATTTGACTATGGTTGCACAATTCTGCAAATATACTAAAAACCAATGAATCTACATTTTCAATGAGTGAATGGTATGGTGTGCAAATTGTATCTCAATAAGGCTCTTAAAAGAAGAGTGCTGGGGGGCGCCTGGGTGGCTCAGTGGGTTAAGCCGCTGCCTTCGGCTCAGGTCATGATCTCAGGGTCCTGGGATCGAGCCCCGCATCGGACTCTCGAGCCCCGCATCGGACTCTCTGCTCAGCAGGGAGCCTGCTTCCCTCCTCTCTCTCTACCTGCCTCTCTGCCTGCTTGTGATCTCTCTCTCTGTCAAATAAATAAATAAAATCCTTAAAAAAAAAAAAAAAGAAGAAGAGTGCTGGGACGAGGCAGGGGCAGACAAGGGTCCTTGTGAACAGAGGTCAGGCTGGAGGGGTTCAGGGGGAGCAGGCGTCTGCCTGCAGGACACCTACCACCTCCATGACATGGGCGCTCCACTTGGATAAAAGCTGCAGACCCCGCAGGGCCAGGTCGAAGAGCTCTCGGTATTCCTCGTCTGACTTCTGGCTGTCCAGTCCGGAGCCTGTCACCACCTGGGAACATGGGCCGTCACCCTCACCATGTACACGCCTGGCCCTTTCAGACGTTATTTCTCTGATTCCCCCAAGAATGATATAAGGGAGGTGCTATTGTTATACCCCCTGGAGAGACAAACCGAGGTTCAGACAAGTTCTTTGTTGAAGGCCACATGGCTTGTCCATGGTTGAGGGCTTAAACTCATATGGTGTGACCCACAGCCCCACTCAGAACTACCCTGCAGGGCTGCGGCTTTCAAATTCTTTCAACTGCAAATACAGTAGGAGGTGCACACCACATAGTGACTCAGGAACACATACCTGCCTAGAGATCTTAAATATAATATAAATATACGCCAACTCTTTCCATATAGCTACTTTATTCTAAACACATGAGAATTCCTCTGATGGGCTAGTCCATGTCCTACAAAATGCCCATCATAAGTTACTGAATTAATTGCACAACTCCTTAATTAGATACGACCCACCAGCTAAAAAGCACTGAAGACTAACCTCTATCTGGCTGTGCACTATTCCATAAGGCAATACGGATGTATGCAGGTGCGTATGTGTAAGTATGTGCACATCCGTACACACGTATGGAGTCAGTCCTCGTTATTGTTGAGTTCTGTAGTTGTGAATTTGCCTACTCCCTAAAATGTATTTGTAATCTCCAAGTCAGTATTTGCAGTCCCTTTACGGGTCATTTGCAGGTACGTGCAGAGTGGTGACAATTCTGAGTCGTGTCCAGCGGAGGCTGAACACAGCGACTCTGTGCTTTCTCGTTTCAGTGACACTACTGTATATATATGGTCCATTTAATGCCATGTTTTCCACATTGTACTTTTTACTGGTGATTTCACTATTTAAAATGGCCCCAAGTGTAATACTAAAGTTCAGTGTAGTAATCCTAACTGCAAAGAAGGCTATGACATGCCTTAGGGGAAAAGCACCTCTTTCAGATACGCTTTGTTTGGACGTTATAGTGTTGTTGCATGTGAGTTAATGTCCGTAAATCAACAATATATATTACATATGGCATCTTTAAATAGAAACGCACAGAAAACAAGGTTATATATTCATCAGCCTATGAAAATGTCGTGACCAGAGGAACTTAACTCTGTACTTCCTTTGGGAGGAATTGTTCAGTATTTGCTGATCCAGGGTTCATGCCCACTTTTCAGAATACATTACTGCAAATAACGAGACTTGTTTGTGGATACACATGCATAAAATGTACAACTTAAAAAAACCTTGAAGTCAACTTCACTCTTACATCACACCAAGACTTGAAAAGGATGAAGAAGGCCTGGTTTTGAAATTATTCCCATTGCTTTAGTTCAGACGATTGTGGCATATGGTCAAGAAAGCCCAAGGGTAGGGCTTAAGCTCGGTCCATATCTTCCAAGAGCCCTCATAAGAATATGGGCCACCTGTCTAATGACCACACCATGTGCACGTGTCTGACTGTCCTCACTTCAACTATGCTGCCCTTTGATCAAAGACCTTTTCAGAGTTTGGGTTTGGAAAGCATGCGCACTATGGCTGCCAGCCACACGGTGGAAGCAGTGAGCAAACAGTCATCCAGGTTCAAATCAGGGACCGTGTTTATCAAACCAACACACACATTTAATAGAAAGGTATATATGGGAAGAGTCCAGGAGGATAGATAAACCCAAATATTAATCACAGTTGGTTCTGGCTGGTCAAATTTTACATGGTTGATTTCCCTCCTTTGCATATCTGTAATTTTTCTGAGGTTTGTGCATTGACTATATTTCTATATTAAAAAAAAAAAGAAAGAAAAACTTAACACCAGTAAAAATGTAATTGGTGGGATTACAAGAGATTTTACGGGCTTCTTCTGTCCCTAATTGTATTTTTTGATGTGTTACAAGCATAATTATTGTGGAGTTTTAAAACACTCCATGCTTTGAGCAAGTGTTCAGAACTGTTTCTCTTGCCATCCAGGGTGGAAATGGCTGGGATCATGTGCAGATGAACCACATTACTGGGCCACTGTTATCTGCTGTGCAGGATGCATTTTCCATGCATTCTACTGTTTTGGCCTCTCAGTGAACCTTTCCAGACACTATTATCCCATTTTACAGATAAGGAAACTGAGGTTCAGAGATTGTGAATAACTTGTGAAGGTCAGTGGCAGAACCAGTTCTGTCTAGCTCTAAAACCCATGCCCTTGGCCCCTTTGCCCTCTAGCTTCCGATATGTATGGCCTCACTCCTGCTCTCCTTCATCCTTGGGATCATTTCCTTTCTGGGCAGTCATTGCCCCTTCACACCCTGAACCCCCACTGGGCTCCCTCTCAGCAGGCAGAGCGAGCTTACCTCGCTGTTACTGTAGCGAGCAAGTTCGGAGATGAAGCGGATGTGGTCGTCCCGGATCTGAACCATCTGCTCGCAGATGTTGTACTGGGGGCTGATGCTGCTCTGGGTACACGTCCACCTGGGCAGAAAATCACACGGTTGGAGAAGGTCCTGGCCTGATGTGCCACAGTGGGATAGGCTCCTTGCACTCACTAGTTGTTCTTGGTGCTCAGCCAAATGTGGCTGGCTGCCCTGGGTGGACCCAGCAAGTGTCCCAGTCACCAGAAGACAGCCTGCCACAGGCTGAGCAGAATAATCTTCTTCCTCCTCTAAAACCCAATCACAGGCTTTCCCAGGTAACTTGTGTCCACAGTACTTACCAGTTATACGAATGAGGAGCCTCTCTAGGGCTACAGAGAGCTAGAAACCGAGCAAAGAAAAGGCCAGGTGGGCAACCTCCCTGGGCCTGCCTACCGACTGTCAGCACTGACATCCTGAGACTGAAGCTAGCTTTGTTGGGGCCATTAGGATGGGACTGGGGAGGCTCACAGGGATCTCGCCTCTTGTTTCAACAGTGATCGGGCAACATGAAAGGACTCCACGGTGATGGATAACATGTGTTCTGAGAGGTATTGCTGGAATGCTCTCCCTCCTTCCTTCTCTCTCTCCCCCCACCACCTTCTTGCTCCCCTTGCCCCTCCCCTTTCTCCTTTGGAAAGATATCATTTGGAAAACCATCCCAAAGTGGAGAGGAAATCAATGAATAAAAGACTTTACTTCCTCCTCCACCCCCCCCCCCCCAAAAAAAAACAGGCCCCTTTACTGCCTTCTGTCATCTGGTGCTGGGTGACCCAGGAGACAGACTAAGCATGGGCACCAAACAAGACAGATAAACATTCTGGAAAAAATTTAGTCTCTCAAAAGGATCTCCTTGAAGCGGAAGTGGTTTTCACAAGAGTGCCTGGACTGGGGATAGACTTCCTCATGCTTATACTTTGCCCTTTTATCTTGGCTTACTGGTACATGAATGGGGACACGATCACTTACACCTCTGACACCCCTCTGTGGCCACATCACCACTCCCGCCCAACTTCAGGTGGCCCACAATACACACAGGAAACGTGAAGAAAGGAGTTCAGCCTTCTCGGTTCCATGCTCTTCCTAGAAAACCTCCTCACACGCTAGCAGCAACAGGTTATGAAGAGACTAACCCAGCTTCCTTGGTGAGACTCCCTCTCGGGGGCTCAAGGCTGGTGGGGTTCAAGGACACTCTGTTTACCTATTTTTCAAGCACAAATACTCACTTTTGACTAAAGGACAGTCAGTCCCTCTCTGTAGGGAAAGGTCATATTCATTCAGCTTTGGGCAAGATGCAGACAAAAGGAACCTTACTAACAACCCCCTAGATCAATGGAGAGGCCCAGACCGCAGCTGGGTGTCACCCACCTGCCGTGAGTCCCTGACACCCCGGGTTCTAGCACAGATGACCTAGAACAGTGGCTTATAAAACAATCCAAGGTGAAGCTATCAACTCAGTTCACAGGCGGAGCCATCTAAACCATATTCTCAATGACATACTTACTGCACGGACACAAATCGGAGGAGAGAATGAACATGCTGAAGAACGCCATCTTGCTCCGCCCGGCCACTGAGGGCCAGCCAGTCCTCCCCCTTCTCCAGGGAAGGAGGGCTCCTGCTGTCCCACTGCGGGCAGCATGGGTCAACACCGGGACACAGAAGGGGCGTGGCTGTGCTCTGAGAGCTTTTGAACCCTGGCGGTAAAGGGCAGATACAAAAGGGCTCAGAGCACCCTCCGCTGTTCCCTTCCGGCCGGCTGGGTGCCAGTGTGGCGATGGAATCCACCTGCCCAGGGCTCTGGGGAGGGGGGAGGGGCTGAAGTGGCCCCTCGGCCCCCTGCCCGGGCCGGGCGTCCTCACGGGAGCCGAGAGACATTATGGCAGGCACTCACTTGGACTTGTTCTCTTCATAGTGAGCACTGGTCTTAATGTATCTGGCCAGCTCTATCTGCATGTCGCCGAAAAGGGGCACCACTTGCAGCTGCTGCAAAGGAAGCAAACACAAGGCATGAGATGCTGAGGGAGGGGCCGGCCGGCTGCCTTCCACTGGGGAAAGCATGCCTCCTCTATGGACCTCTGGGCCGACCCCTAGGCTCTGCTTCTGATCATGCTCCTGGGTCACCAGACAGTACACAGGGCCTCCCCTGCCTCCAGCCAACCCATGTTCCAGCAACTGAGCTCAGAAGGGCATAGCGATTTGTCCAAGGTGACACAGCAGGCAGAATGGATGAAGGAAGAGGACCAGACGCGGCCTGCCTCCCAGGGCAGGGTTCTCTCTGCTCTAACTTCCCTGGGATTCGTGGGTCCTTGCCGCTGTGAATGCTGGACTAGGAGTGGGTACCTGGATGCCGCTAGCTGGGTGAGGCGGACAGGTCCTAAGTGAAGACCAGCCCAAATGGAGAGGAGGCCGGTGAGGACTGCTGGATTCTAGGCGGTAGGCACCCTGTCAAGTTCTTCAAACCCCCAAGATCCTTAGGACAGTGGTGGATACACATCATTCTGTGTTCGTCAAAACACATAGAATGTAAAACGCCAAGAGCGATCCTTAATGTAAGCTATGGTCTCTGGGTGATAATGATGTGTCAGTGGAAGTTTGCAGATTGTAGAGGATGCAACACTTTGGTGGGGGATTTTAATAGTGGGCGAGGCTGCTCACGGCGGGGAACTCTGGGGAAATGGGAAAACGCTGCCCTTTCTGCTCGATTTTGCTGTGAACCTAAACTGCTCTAAAAAATAGTCTATTAAACAAAAAACAGTATCTCAATCCCTACAAACACTCTGTGAGGTCAGTACTATTATCATCCCCAATTCATAGATGAAAAAACTGAGGTTACGTAACTCAAGTCATTTTTACACAAAGGACCCAGAACTATAATCCAGGGCTCTGACCCACCTATGTCCTTCCTCCTGAATCCTCAAGGGAACCCTAGAAAGTAGATACCCTCAGTGTTCACATTTTCCAGATTGGGGAGCTCCATTTCAGAAAGGTTTAGTGATTTCCCCAGAGTTATCCAGCTATCAAATGGCAGAGCCAGACTAAAACCCAGGCCCGACTGTGGCAAAGTTGTATACTTCAACTGCACCCCGATTTCATTCATGCTGACTGAGGGCAGGGGCGGATTTTGCAAAGTCTCCTGAGATGAGCCCTGTTTTCATTTGGGGCAGCTCCAGAGAAAAGTGAAATTTCCTGCCTTGAAAACATGCAAGGCCACAGGATACCTTTTGGTGATTTATTTCCCCCTTAACCTGGAAGAGTCAGTGAGACCCAGGCCCAGCCCAGTGTCCCCCATGCCACACTTCTGAGTGGTTCCACTCTGAATGTTAAGCCTGGTTTTTCCATGTCTGACCTCTGAGGCTCCACCTTGGCGTGCCCAACGCCAGTACAACTGACACCATGGAATTCAATTCCAAAGCAGGAAATCCCTTCATGAAAGCCTCAAAGGCTTCATTTAATCCCAAGGTTTTATTTTTAGAAATTTGGGGCCATAAGATCACACATCTGAGGCACTGCAAATGTCTGAGTGTATAAGGGACCATGATGAGGCCTAGTGCCCAGAGGCAGGGGCGAGCCAAGGGAGCCCCCCCGGCCCCCGGCCACCGCCCATGGACCAGGAGAGGCTGTGACTTTGCAAATACGAATCAATTTAAAATCCAGTCTTTAATCCTCCAGCTTCTGTGAGCTCTGATTTATGTGGAAAATTAAGGCAGGCGCTGTCTTCTGGGATGCACCTCTTTCTTTAGCTGGCAAGGGATTTCAGGAAAGAGCAAAGGCAATATGCAGAAAAACTGTCAGGCCTCTCGGCCAAGCCCTGAGCAGACTTAGATAGTGTAGCAGCTTCTACGGAGGGCAGCGGGAAGCCCTCTCATTCTATCCTCCTCCTCCTCCTCCTCCTTGGGGCCTTTACAAGCTCCACCAACAAGCCCCACTGGTTGGAGCCAATTTCTTCCCTTTCCCCAGAGGGACCACCCTGTGGTGCAGCCCCACCTTCAGGTGCTGACCTTAAAGAACTTATCAATTTTGCTGAGGTTGATTCTCTTCTTGGCATCCAGTTTGTAAATGTTACTGACGTTTCCATCCATCAGGTAGAGACCAAAACCCATTACCTAGAGTGAGAAGGGGCAGAGCACAGAAGCCCATTACAACCATTGGAAAAGCTTAAAAAAAAAAAAAAAAAAAAGGAGGACTCTGCACGCACACATGCACATCCTGTAGGGATACCTCCTCTTTCAAAACCCACGTGTCTTCAATTGAAGAAAGGAGACATAAATCTCACTTGAACTAAACTTGGACTTCTGTGTAGAGGTCCAGACCACCCTGTAGTAGGTTATCATGGTGGTCGCTTGCTGAGTCCTTACTGGGGGCCGGAGTCTGTGCGTAGGGCTTCCCTGGGTATTTTCCTCAATTCTCACAACCATCTTAGGAGTCAAGTTTACACAGTGACCTTATTCTACAGACGAGGAATTAGAGACACAGAGAGGTTGGCCAGCCTGCTAAGGTCACACAGCTAATAGGTTGCAGAGACAGGGTCTGAAGGCAGATCTGACCACAACTTCTATTTAATAGAGGCTTCCTGCAAGACAGGGCTGAGCGCTGCCTGTGGCTGCCTCCTTGGGGGCTAGCCCATCAGAGGGACTTGGGAATACCTGCCCGGTGTTGTATGAATGTGCAAACTATTCACTTCTTTCCCCGAGGAAGCTAAAACAATGCACGGATTCCCAAGGAGCTGCTGGTGACTTCATTCAGAACACATTTTGTTGTTGCATGACAACACTCTATAAGCAGGTCACCAGGCTGACTCTTGATATGCTGGTCCATTTAATAGCTTCTTGAAAGCTGACATGTTTTGCTCCTTTTATCAAATGCACAGCAAGTTTACCAGGGCCTGAATGGCTAGGCTGGAAGCAGCTTCTCCTGGCTCGCAGCTGCTGTGACTGTAGGGAAGTCACCCTTGACATGTTAAGGGCCTGGACCAGAGGACCATGAAGGTCACACCCTCTTCTTCGTCCCATTCGGTCCCATGCTCTGCAGGGTGTGTGCCAGACTCTCCCACCTTAGATGAGAGGCACCCTGGTGGCGTCTGAGTTCATGAACACTAGCTGCAAAATGGGGGAACAGCCAGCGTCGAGACCCGGAGCCTGAGCTGGGAGAAGTGGAGAGCTCAGGGCTGGGAAGCAGAGGTGCGGAGACCGTAAAAGCCGGTGAGAGAAAATCTGCTGGCAGCATCTCAGAGTGCTTGGTGGGCTGGGATTTAGTGAGCTGGTGGGTGGCACCAGCCATTCCGGGAGGCACAGCAAGGGGCTGAGAGAGACCACTAGGCTCTGGGGCATTCTGGGTTTCTGATGAGGCGGAGGAAGCCGGAGTGAACAAGTCACTGAGCCACCCTGTCCTGCAAACACTATCAAGGCACGATGGGAATAGAAAGAAGGGAACCCAACAGGGCTGGGATTTCTAGGGTAGAGGGGGTGGCACGAAGGAGAGGAGGAAAAATAAAATACCAGGAGAACATCAAAAGGGGAGGCTTTGGAGAAGACTCAAAAGGGGCTGGGCAGCGTGTCAGAAGAACATGCAGAAGGCCGCTCGTGTCTGTGCTACCACTGCCGAGAGAAATCCGGGACAACCTGAGCAGCCAGAGGCGGAGGAATGGGTAAGAAATGCAAGGTGTCCAGACTGCGTCACTGAGCGGCAGCATGACACTCCCGCTACGTCTAATCAAATGCGATAAAAATTACACACACACACAATTTATGCATATGGCATATGATGAAAACGTCTGTGAGCACAGAAAAAGTACAGGAAAATACATCAGAATGCTAAAAATGTTACCTCTGGATGGAAAGACTGTAGGGAGAAAAATTTTCTGTGCTTTTCCATATATTCCCGATTTTCTACAATAACTATTACTTGATAATTTAAAAATGAAACTTGTAAACTGCTGAAACCAATGTGACTACTTTGACAAAATACAGCAAAAGCTGGAAGATGCTGCCTTCCCTCTGAGTCAGCAATTTCTCCTCTGGGACGTCTGACTTGGCAAGAGTGTGGACAGAGTGGTTGTGCTATAAGAATGTTCACTGCAGTTCAGCAAACAAATAGCCAATGACAGGATTTGTTTAAAGACAATGTCCACGGGCATTGGGATACTCAGCAGCCATTAAAAACAACAGCGCAGGGGCGCCTGGGTGGCTCAGTGGGTTAAGCCTCTGCCTTCAGCTCAGGTCATGGTCCCAGGGTCCTGGGATGGAGTCCTGCATCAGGCTCTCTGCTCAGCAGGGAGCCTGCTTCCCCACCACCCCCCATCCCCTGCCTGCCTCTCTGCCACTTGTGATCTCTTGCTCTGTCAAATAAATAAATAAAAATCTTTAAAAAACAAACAAACAAAAAAACGACATCCCAGTAAATACCCTTAACAACATCTGGAAAGGTATATATGACATATTAAAGGCAAAAAAAAAAAAAAAAAAAAAAAGCCAGGTTATAAAAAATGATGTCCAGTAAGATCTGTATCAGTGTTTAAATAAGAAAAAATAAATGTGTGTGTGTGTGTATGTGGGTGGGTGTGTGTGTTTTAAGATTTCCAGTAAGCGGGGTGGGGGGGTAGGCACGGGGGGCAAGTCCAGGCCCCGGGCTGTGTGGCTGCTGTCGTACCTTGAGGAGCATGTGCTTCTCACTGGGGGTCAGGTACATCTTGTTCTCGTAGTAGTCCACGCAGATGTTGACAATGTCTGCCAGCAGCTCCTCATAGCCTGGGATCACTTCCAGTTGCTGATGGAGACACTGAACAGCAGCGCCCCCCGCTGGTTAGCCCCTCTCCTGCTCCCCTGCCCTCCCCCACACCGCCCCCACCACCCCCACCCCCACCCTGGAAGGCCCACAGTTGGTTGGCAGTGACAGAGCATAACCCCCCTGACCATGCCAGGTGGACGGAGCCTGCGTCTCCTCCTCAAAGTCCCCACAGTGGTTGGTCAGAGCTCCTGTGACTCTCCCACAGCAGGGAAGCCACCCCGCTTGGAGCCTCCATTTTATTTCCTAGCAATTCTGACAGAAAATCCTTTCTTGGGCTGAACTGAAAAGCAGTACAGCTTTCCAGCAACAGGCCTGTGGTAATCTAGGCTTGGTTTTGAGAGCGTAGACTTAGCCATGACATCTCAGATGATAACAGAAAGACCCAGTCCAGGGGAGGAGAGCAAGACCAGCAGGCGTGCCCCTCCTGCAGGGCACGGTGGTACAGAAGCACTTCCCATCAGAGAAGAGTCTGTGGTCTCCACCTCAGGCCCTTTCTCTCCAAAGGGACAACCTGGGGCCCTGTGGGGGAGGCCGTGGGAGGTGCTGCTACTGCTTTCCACAGAACCTGGGGCTGAATCTCAGGAAAGAAACATGTCAACACTGACAGCCTTGTACAGTTAGCCAATAGGAGGAAGGGCCCAGTGAAGCCAGCAGCATCCCCAAGAGAGGTCTGGGCCTGAAAACGTTTCCAAGATGGAGGGCCCCTCTCAACCAGCGCCCTGCCCACATTCTCGCTGGCGCCCGTTTAGGCTGGCCTAATGGGTGAGCAGGACGGGTTACATAAAGTCAGAGCAGGACAGCCATAGCTGCAGGGGTGCCCGGCAAAGTGGCGGCAGTAACCATAGCTACGGCAGCTTATGCTCTGACCATTCATCAGGCTCTGCTCACCACAGCCTTTTGAAATGGTCTCTCATTCCTCACAACAGTCCTAGGAGATGGAATCTCATATTCTCAAAATAACAGCTCTACTTCACAGATGAGGAAATGGTGGCTTAGACCTGGCTCACGTTCTCACAAGGGGTCAGTGGAGGGTCCAGGATTAGAAAACAAGGCCGTCACACTCCAGAACCCAGGCTCTCAGTCCTCACTGACGTGAAGGCGGCATGTGGGCCGAGAAGACTTTCAGGGAACAAAACCCCGCAGAGGGTAAAAGGGTCATCTGTGGTTGGGAGAAGACTTACGTCTGCTAATTCACGAGTAGGAAAGTGGGGATGTTCATCTGGACTGGGCTTCCCTGCTTGTGGTCCCTCCATCGTCAGGCCCCTGCCTGTGTCCTGAGACCCCAGGCCCAGATGAACAAGGAATGTGTCATCACCTGGGTGATCCTGTTGTGGTTGGCCAGGAACATGGAAAGGTTCTGTGACTCCTGGATAGACTGGGGGTCCGCCATCTTCCTCAGGAACTGGGCTGCCCTGTACATGGTGTCATGGAGAGGAATGCTCAGACGTAACCCGCCCAAGCCAGGCCTCAGGGGCTCCCACTTCCACCTAACCCAGAGTTCCACCGCCCCCTGGGGTTAGGGAGCTCTGAATATCACAGGTGACTCTGAAATCAAAGGAGAGTGTATTCTGGAGTCATTTTGTCTGGGGCTATGTACACCCTATATTAAGGGCACCTACAATTAAGAGGCAAGAATAGGTCCAACCCAGCAAGTTTAAGGGCAACTAGCATCCTAGGAACCAGCCAGAGGTGGCAAGACAGAGTGAAATGAGCACCCTCGTGCTGGGCTGTGACCTGTTGTGAAACCGCAAGCGGTCATGGAGAGGAATCCCAGGCAGGGTGCGTTGGTTTTATATGGATTATGTTATTTACAGAAAACCTCCAAGTTTCTAAAGCAAAGCACTGCATGGAAACAGAAGTCTATTCCACCTAACAGGACTGGAGGTGAAGGGATCATGGGCATGGGGAACATACACAGGGCTCAAAGGGGGAACCACACAGTACCCTGCACTGTTCCAGCCTAGCCTGGTGGTGGTGCGTCCTGAGTCATGGCCGACTGCGAGAGCATAGATATGCCTTGCTCACGTGGCTTGTGAGTGTGTCACTTGGGACCACAATGCAAAGAGTAGCCCAAACTGGGAAGAAATGGGAGGAAGGACGGTGGGGAGGGGCATGGGAGATACTATGTAAGCCATGTGCTGTCTATGAAATCTTTGTGAAAGCGGCTATTTCTGAACCAGTCTGGAGATGGGGCTCTGCCTGTGGACATGCACCCCGGGGTTACGCAGGTCCCTCGGGAAGAGAAAATGGTGGGAATCGGTCTGTTGCCGGGTTTCTCCAGTTATCTTGGAGGCCCAGAGGATGTGATTCAAGGAGGAGGGGCCCTCTTCATCAGTGACACAGAAGAGCCTTCCTAAGACATGTCTCTAGACACTGCAGAGCTCATGGAAGCCTCAGCAGCATGCAGGACAGTATCTGTTGCTTTCGAATGCCCACTGCCACCTTCTGCATGGCTGTATCCTAATTTCTGGAGAGTGACAGTCCCTGACCCACTCAGTCCTTCTTTCAGCTGACGCTGGCCAGCACCTGCTCCTTGGAGCTCCCACTCTCAGCAGTAACCGAGGGAGGGCTCCACACACCACCCAGACCAGAGCCAGGACAATCCTCCACGGGACTGTGGCAAAAGTACTTGAAAGAAGCGCCCCTTCTTTCCTTCCGAGCTGGGGCTGCCACGCTGGTCAGAGGGAAGCCGCCAGCTGCCAGCGACCACCCCAGGGCACAGGCCTGCCTGTGAATGAAGCTGCTCTCAAGGAAAGCTGAGCCGAGGGGTAGCGGGAACTGGACCTCCATCACCTGAGGATCTGGGTCCAAATAGAGTGAAACCGTTCCGTTCTGGGAGCGAATCCAGTTCCTTCTTTTACAGAAACAGTGTGAATTGGCTTTCTGAATCTTGCAGGAAATGACCGATGTGACTATCTTATGATTATTTTTCTGGTCCCAAACTGCATGGGAAACCACTATAGGTCGGGGAAAATGACGCTCTGACCTCATTTTGCGACAGAACACCTATAAAAACAGAGAGGCCCTCCCGCCGTGGCGGGGAATGGCTGGTTCGGTTCTGGAGGAGGAGCCCGGCAGAAGGGCTCCAGGCCCCGCCTCCCCTAGGTGGGCTCTGCAGGAGGAGGGGCAGGGAGGGTGCCCTGACCTTTTATAGGCAGAGTGGTCGTTCTTGACGCTGCACTTCATATTCTTTAGTTCATCCAAGACGGCGAACATGTTGATGAACTTGCCCAGGGTCAGGAGGTAGGCCTCGGAGACGAAGTCCTTCCTGCGCTCTGCATGGCACAGCCGCTTCACCTCACTGCAGAACCGCTCGATGGCCTTGCGCTGCGGGGGAGGGGCAGCGGGTAAGGACAGGCGGCCCGGAGGGGGCTCAAGGTGCTCTCGGTGGAGAGCAGGATCAAGGCTCCCTCCTCTGGGGCTCTGGTCAGAGTGTGGACATTTAGAGAGAGTCAGATCTGCCAGGAGATCTTTCTTAGCAGAGCCCCTAAATCCAGAGCTCCTTTGGAGAGGGGAGCATAGAACCTACAGCCAAGTGAGTCAAACCAAGGAATTCATTCACTATGCCTTTGCTGAGCAACATTATGTCTTATTCATTTTTTGTATCCCAGCACCTAGACCAGTGCCAGGCACCAGACAGGGTAGGGTAGAGACCAAGAGTGAGAGACACACTCAGAGAGAGAGAGGCTCATGCAGCCAGTAAATTGTATTTATTGTGCATCTACTACATGCCAGGAACCATTCTAGGTACTCCAGGAAAGTAGAGAACAAAACAGGAAAAAAAAGAAAAAACCTGCCCTAAGGTGCTTATATGTGAGCGGAAAACAAAACAAATACTCTATGTTAGAATGTGATATGCACCGTGGAGAAAAATAAAGCAGGAAAGGTGGATAGGGAGGGCAGGGAGAGCTGTACACTTTAGTAGGAAGATCAGAGAAGAAATCATCCAGAGGCGACTTTTAGGAAAAGAGTTTGAAAGAAGAGGAGAAAGACAGGGATAACTGAAGGAAGTGCATTCTGGACAGCATGAGTGGCCAGTGCAAAGGCCCTAAGGTGGAAGTATCCCTGACATGTTTGAAGAATGAGCAAGAAGCCAGTGGTTGAAGTGAAGTGAGCAGAAGGAAGAAACTGGAGGCACAGAGGGACCAGGGCCACTGGCTCTCACAGGACTTTGTGAGGGCTCAGGTCTCTACACTGAGTGAGTCAAGGATAACATGGTCTGAATTGTACTGTAAGGGGGTCACAATAGCTGCTGTGGTGAGAATCCACAGTAGGGGCAAAGATAGAAGCAAGGAGAATAGTTAAAAGAAATAAAAATATGTCTATCCCACGATATATACGTGAATATTCACAGTCGCCTTGTTCATAAGTAATCCCAAAGTGGATATAACCTTAATGTCTATTAACTAATAAATATGTAAATAAAATGTGGTAGATTCATACAGTAGCTTAGTATTTTGTCATGTATTTTGGTACATGTTACAACATGGATGGATCTTGAAAACAATATGCTAAGTGAAAGAAGTCTGTCACCAAAAATCACATTATTCTGCAATTTCATTTATATGCAGTGTCCAGAAGAGGCAACTCCATAGAGACGTGAGGCAGATTCGTGGTTACCTAGAGCTGGAGAGAGGGAGGGGAGGGTATAATGGGGTGGTAGCTAAAAGGGATGAGATTTTTTTGGGGGGGTGAGAATGTTCTATGACTGATCGTGGTGATGGATGCATAACCCTGTGAATATACGAATAAAAAATGGTTGAATTGTCCAATTTAAAGGATAAATTGGGAGTGCCTGGGTGGCTCAGATGGTTAAGCCACTGCCTTTGGCTCAGGTCATGGTCCCAGGGTCCTGGGATCGGGCCCCGCATCGGGCTCTCTGCTTAGCAGGGAGCCTGCTTCTCCCTCTCCCTCTGCTGCTCCCCCTGCTTGTGCTCTCTCCTCTGTCAAATAAATAAATAAAATCTTAAAATAAAATAAAATAAAATAAAGGATAAATTGTATGGTATGTGAATTACATCTCAAAAAATCTGTTACCGAAAAAAGCAGCTGACCAATAACAAAAATAGATAAAGCAGCAATTCAGAGAAAGACACAGAGAGAGGAGGAAGTAGAGGAAGAAGAGGGAAAGGCGGGGGAAGGAGAGAAATCCCTCCTGGTATATGAACTTTACTCCATGGACATGGGATACCCTGTCCCAGTCAGTCATTCCCCTTCTCCAAAGCCCAGACAAGCCATCCTCTCTCCTTCGAGTCCAGGTCCAGTGGAACTTTCCACAATGATGGAAATGTTTCATAACTGCACTGTCCAATATGGAAGCTACTCATCACATGTGGCTACTGAGCCCTTCTCACCTCATGGCTAGTGTGCTGGGGGACCTGAACTTTATTTAGTTTTCACGTAGATAGTCCCATATGGCTAATGGCTACTGTGTTCAACAACATAGTTCTAGATTACTCCAGATCCTCCCTTCTCTAAATTCTTTGTCGGAAGGCCTCCCCATTTAGCACTCAGTCAGCCTCTGGATAGTTCTCTCTTGGGCCTGCCTTCCTAAAGAGACCAGGCTAGTCACAGCAGCTGCCATTTGTCACACCTGCTCTGCAACCAGGGCTCCATTTGGCTCTCCACGAAGAGAACTCCTTTATCCTCCCCACACACCTGAGACGAGGCATGATTTCCAAGGTGAGAGAGCTGAAGGGGTTAGATGTTTCAGAACACACAGGCTCACAGGGACAGCGTGCAGAACCTTGAGTTTCTCTGCCTCGGAAGCTGCCCTCCTGCCCTGGGCTGCACGCGTGTGCGCCTTCCCCAACCATTCCTATCTCCCGCCCCCAGAGGCCTGGGCAGAGCTGGGCGCGGGCTGGACACCCAGCCAGGGCCTGCGAGGCTCCTGATGACACTCAGCTCTTCAGTGGAACGTGTAGAGGGGAGAGAGTGTGTGCCACGACTCCCGCCCCAGGGTGCAGACCAGCCTCGAAGTCTTCAACCTGCACTCCCACACAGGGTCCGACATGACTGCCGGAACCAACCACTCTGCTTTATTCTCCCTTGGCCATTCCTGTTTAAGCAGCCTGCCCTCTTGACTTCCATTCATGGAGGCCCCACGGCGCTCTTTTCTCTTTTCCTCCTAAAATGATTTCCTCTTCCTGGCTTCCCAGCTGGCCTCCCTGCTGTCATTCTTCTCCCCTCTCACCTTCTGCATCTGTAACTGTCTCCCCACCTCCCATCCATTTCCTACACAGCGGCCAGAACAGTGCTGCAAAACCTCAAACCAGAACATGTCACGAGGACACAGGGGCTTCTATGAGGCCTGAGTAAAATGCACGTAATCTTTTCATGTCTGACCTCCCAGCCTACAGTGCCCTGGAGATCAGGTCCTTTCTACTTCCCCGGGTCACCTTCCATCAGCCGCCCTACTCACTGCGGTGCCCTGGTTACCCGTTATTTCTCAAACACGCCATGCCCCTTCAGGCCTCAGGACCTTTGCCTTTGCAGTTCCTTCCGCCTGAAACCTTCTTTCTCTGGTCTTCACACGCCAGATGATTGTCACCTACAGAGTTCAGTGTAAAGGCCATCCCCACAGCTACACCAGGTCACAGACACCCTCCACCCCAGACTTAGGATTTTTCAATTTGGTTTTACTCACAGCACTTACTACACCCTGAAAAGGATTGTGTGTTTTTTACTGGCAGTCTCTCCTCCTCCCGAAACATACTCATGGGCTCCCTAAGACGTAAATCACGTGGACAGAGGGAGGCTTATCTATCTTGCTCACCAAGGATTGTGTCAGGAGCACATAAGGGGTATCTGCTCAGTGGGTAAGGTAAATAAGCTGGGTCAAAAATCCATGCCCCAGCAGCCGGCAGAGCCGAGCCTCTCGAGTCTCCTGATTCAGACCCACCCTTACCCTCACCTGAAAGTACATGAACTTCATGAGCTTGGTGACCTCCGGCTCCAGCACCTCCACTGTCTTCTCGTAGATCTCAACCCGGTTGGGCTGCTCATTGCATTTCACCTGTAGGGAGAGGGGGGAATCACACACCCTCCTTTGCCAAGGGAGTTCTGGTTCACATCTGTCGTCTTATTAACAGAGCCCTTTTGCACTCTTGAAGGCACCTCATTTAGGATGATAAATGCAGTGATCACCCTAGTGAGCGGGGGGCTGGGGTAGCCCTGTCTGATGGGTCTGACCAAGAGGAGAACTGCTCCCCAGACCCTGGCTGTGGGAAAGAAACCAGCTGGTTCTGAGATCAAACCCTCCTCCTCTTCAATCTGTTCAGTGCCCTGGCCTTGAGCTGTATACACATCTACCCTGGTCTGCAAGGTCTCCCTCCTTCAGCCTTTCCCCCACTCCTAACCCATTGCAGCCCATCAGCGTCTAAGCAGAGAATAATGTGCCAGCCACTGCTCTGCGTGCACACAGCGTGAGGCCCTCTGGCCATGCCTGGCCCCATCCAGAAACCCATTTTCTCTGTCCATTGGTTTTCAACACATCAGAATCCCATGGAAGCTGTTTCATAGCCTGCACACCCAAGACTGCTAACTGGTCAGGTGAAACTGAACAGTGAGTGAAGGATAATAATGAGGACATTCTTCACACCGTTGCTTAGGAATTCTTAAAATGGTAGCATGAAGGTTAAATACCCACCAGTCAATGATTAAATGGATAAAGTATGAGATAGTCATATGACATCATCATAAAGCTGCTAGAAGGAACATGGGGAAGCTAGAAGTGACACGGAGAGATTGCTACCATAACCTGACAGGTGGAAAAACCAGCAGGACGTGAAGGGTAATTGAACCGCATTTTTGTTAACCAAAACACAAAACAAAACTGTGTGTGTGTTTGTGTGTCCATATATAATAGAGGCATAGAAAATCTGAAAGAGTTCAAAGCAAACTGTTAATAAGTAGTTACCTCTGGGGACTAAGGGTAGGAGGAAGAGAGAGGAATAGCTTCTGTTTACTTTGCACACCTGTGGTTTGTTCATTTTGTTATAATGGGACCCATGAACTATATGATGTTGATAATTATGGTAAATAGAGTATCTGCATGAGTCAACACAAAAAAGTTACTAAAAAGGAATTAAGTGGAAAAAAGCAAATGGCAGAATAATATAAGTATAAACAATGTACATTTATAAATATAAGTCAATGATAATTTACAATAACATTTGTAGGAACAGTCGTGATTTCAAGGAAAAAGATCCAGAGGAATATGCAGCAAAGTATCCACAGTGATTCCGCTTTGGTGGGAGGTGAGTTTGGATGGTGGGGGTGAGGAGATGGGGATGTCTTGCTTTTTACTTTATACCTTTGGGCCATGGTTTGGGTGTCGCACAGGTAGTCCGTACTGATCTTGAAATAAATTGAATATTTTTTAAGCTGTCATCAGTGCTACGGGAAGCTCTCCACATGTCTCGAGCGAGCTCCTTTGACTACCAGGCCCTGCCTCACTCCCCGCCAGCTGGGAAAGTTCCGCTCTCTGGCTGGGGCCGAAGCGGAGGGCCCCGGAGAGCCACCGAGCAAGGACAGGCTCACCTGCGGGATGGCCCGGGAACAGCTGCGCCAGGTGTAAAGCATGACCGCATACTCGTGCCCTTCCTCCAGCATTTCATTCTGGAAAGCAAAACACGCCCTCAGCAGGGAGAAATTATGCTGGTGGCAGAAGTCTCCTTCAGGGCCCCCCAGAGCCTCAACGCCTCACAGTGGCCGGGGGACTAGCAGCATCTCGGAGACCTGGGAAGCGGAGGAGACGTGCAGACTCTCGGCCCCACTCTGGGCCTATGGAATCAGAATCTGTATTCCAATACAGCTCCCAGGTGACTCATCTTCCCAGGTCCACCCTTAGGTTTAAGAAGCCCCGGCTTCAGGGAGCCTCCTCAGACACCCCAGGGAGCTACCAACTGGCCACATTTTTCAAAGATGGAAAAACACCTTAGAAAAAAGGCGGCAGATCAAAAGTCTGCCTTGTTTCGGGTATACTGTGAGCAAGAAAATAAGCAAGTAGCAAAACAGTACGTACAGCCGGTAGGTTAAAAAAACAAAGAGTAATAATTATGGAAGTACACTGCTGTGTACTGAAAAATACCTTGGTACAAGAGGCATGAAGCTAACGAGTGAGCTCTCCGTGGGGCTGGACACACTCTGTCATATGACAGAGTACGAGGTTGCCCTTATATAAGAGCCCATGCTACTATTCCAGAAGCAGGAAAATGATTAAGCTCCATTTTTTAAAATAATTCCCAGCAGATGGCAAAACCGGTAAGAGCATGGAAAACGAATCCGAAAAATAGAGTGACGACTCACCTCACCTCGCCAAGTGCTAAGAGCCCTAAACCCAGGTTCTACATAGCTGGGCTCAAATCCCAGCTTCATCACTTCTTAGTCCTTTCATCGTCAAGAAGTCAGTTAACCTAAAATTCTCCATTTAGTATCTGTTTAATGATAATGACAAGGACAACCTCCAAGGATTTCATGAAAATTAAATCACACACACACACACACACACACACACACACACAGACCACTTCAGGTGGTCCATAAAGGGAAGTAAGAGTATTACTAGGAAAAAGAGGAGTCTGGCACTTTCTCAAAGAATACAACACGGAGTCACCACATGACCCAGCAATTCCACTGCTAGGTACATACGTCCAAGACAAATGAAAACACACGTCCACACAGAAATGTGCACCCTTGTTCACAGAAGCGCTCTCCTCACACCAAGAGGTGGGAACTAGCCAAATGGCCACTGACTGCTTCGTGGATAAACACAGGGTGGCACAGCCACAGAAAGCAGCAGTGCTGGTCTGTAGGTGGGAGGGAAGTGCTGATATGGGCCACGGCGTGGATCAATGCGGAGAACCTTCTGCCAGGCCCCAAAGGCCACCTGGCTCATCATTCATTCAGAGGAACTGCTCAGCACAGACAGATCCACAGAAACAGAAAGCAGATTGGGGGATGGGGAGAGACAGGACTTAGGAGTGACTGCTAATGGGCTTGGGGTTTCTTTTTGTGGTGACAGAAATAAAATGGCAGTGATGTTTGTATGACATTGTAAATACACTAAAAAACACTGAATTATACCCTTTAAATGGTGAATTTGATGCTGTATGAAGTTGACAAAAAAGCAATAAAAATGGCATCGCCAGACCATCTCTCTTGTAAATGTCTGTGCTGATAGAAAAATGAACCTAATTTTTTTATTAAAAATTTTTTTAAAAAATGAGCCTAATTTTTTAATTCCACGTATCACATCTACTTCATAATATCTCCTTAGCACAAGATCAGATTTAATTTGGAATTTATTACTTCTTATAATTTTGTTTTCCATAGCAAATGTCGATGAGGAGCCATACTTTCAATTCTTAATTTGGACCCCTTTTAAAATCAATAACATGTTGTCCTTGGGACCAGAGAGCACCAAGATCAAGCCTGTGGGTCTCCTGCTGCTCCTGCTTCAGAACAGAGGTCAAAAATGGGAAGTGACAATAACCTCGGGGATGTGTATCTACGTGTTAGCATCACACAGCCCACCAGCAGGGGGAGGAGTCTGACTTTCACTCAGTGAATGCTTTACTAAGTGGTCGGGGTCCCAGGCTCTATGCTGCGTGCTGTGAACAGGGCGGCAAACGAGAACGGTGCAGACTCTGCCCTGTGGGTGTTTCAGTGCCCATCCATCAGATGCCTGGAGGACAGGGATCAGGACGGTGGGCAGAAAGAGCCCTAAATGGGGCCTCAGGAAGACTTAAGTCCTGATCCTGGCTCTGCCTGGGCTCACCTTTTACCTTGAAAATGTCACCAGTTTTCTCAGGTAGAGTTGGCCCCAATCACCAGTTCACTCCTGATGCCCAGGCCATGCCCCAGCAGAGCCAAACCCTTATTCCTGGGGGAGGAGCCAAGGCCCCAGTATTTTTTAATGCTCTCAAGGCAATTCCAGTGTGTGGCTCAGGAAAGGGAATTTGGGCACAGAAAGGGACATTATATATGTGCATGCACAGAGACACCCAAATCCCGGGAGTCTCTGAGAATCTCTGTCTGTGTCTTTCCTCCTGCTGTTTCCACCACCTAGGATGTTTTCCCCACCTCATCTCTGACAGATGAATTCCAACTATGTGGAACAGCAGAGATGAGTAGAAAGAGATCAGGACTCGGAATCAAAAGCCTGGATCCCAGGTTCCACCCTGTGATTTACTAGTTGTGGGATCATGAGCAACTTGCTTGTTCACTTCTCCAGGTCTCAGTTTTTCATCTCTAAAATGGACGTAATGATCCCTTTGCAAGTCACAGGGCTGATATAAGGCTCCAATGATATCATGTATGAGAATATCTTATACATTTTAAGTCATCTTACATATGGTTAAAATGTGTGTGTGAGTCTATACATAGGGCATATTAGGCCCTATTCAAAAGCCCCTTCTTTCATCAAGTTTTCTCTGACCCTCTCAAGGACCCTTCAAAAACACAGAGCTTTAAACTTTTGTCATGTCATTTACCTTTGACTTTGTGCATTTCTATCTGCCTGTAGAGTAATCCAGAGCACGGGTTTTGTAGTCAGACAGACCTGCATTTGGCAACATCACTTGTCAGTGGTGGGACCTTGAGTAATTTACTTAAATTTTCTGGACTCTGGTTTTCCCTGTCTATGAAATGGGTATTGTGATAAAACCTGTCTCACAGGGTAGAGGTGAGAACTGACTCAAACAGTGCAGTTATAATATCCAAAACAGAACTTACAAACAGACATCTCTCCAAAGAAGACATACAGACAGGCCAACAGACACATGAAAATGTGTTCGAAAAGACTAATCATCAGGGAAGTGCAAATCAAAACCATAATGAGATATCACCTCACATCTGTCAAAATGGCTAAAATCAAAAGCAAAAGAAACATCAAGTGTTGGCGAGGATGTAGAGAAAAAGGAGTCCTGTCGCACTCTGTTGGTGGGAATGCAAACTGGTGCAGCCACGATGGAAGTCCATTTGGAAGTTTCCCCCAAATTAAAAATAGTACAAGAACATTAATTTGAAAGGATATATGCACCTGTTTATTGCAGCGTTATTTATAATGGCCAAAAGATGGATGCCACCTATGTGTCCACTGATAGATGAATGGATAAAGAAGATGTGGTAGAGATATACAATGGAATATTCAGCCACAAAAAAGAATGAAATCTGGCCATTTGCAACAACGTGGATGGACCTAGAGAGATCTAGAGACTAAAATGCTAAGCAAAGTAAGTCAGTCCAAGAAAGACAAATACCATATAATTTCACTATGTGGAATTTAAGAAATAAAATAAGCAAACAAAGAGAAAAAAAAAGAGATAAACCAAAAACCAGACTCTTAAATACAGAGAATAAACTGATGGTTACCAGAGAGGAGATGGGTGGGGGCTGGGTGGAATGGGATGGACAGGATACTATGATGACCCCTAAGTCATGTACAGAAGTGCTGAATCACTATATTGTACACCTGACACTAATATAACTGTGTATGCTAACTACACCAGAATTTTAAAAAAATTTAAAATAAATAAACTCTCTGCACAGAAAGTGTTCAATAAAGGGAAAACTTGTCTATTTCCCAGTTGCCTCACTGAGAATCAAGACTGGCCCCTACTTGTCCTTGGACATCCCCTTCTAACATCTGGCACAGTCTCTGCAGGAACCAGGTACACAGTATTTATTAAATGGATGGGGTCAGGGACGGTAAGTCCAGGCTTTAACATATAACTGGTACAGTGAGAAAGGTCCAGTGAGCTGCAGATGAAGCCTCTGAAGGAGGATTCTGGAATGCCTCAAATTCCAGGGCTGCAGGAGAATAACATCAATGAAAGCCCAAGAGGGAAGAGGGGGCTTCTTCACAGATGGGTCAGGTACAGAACTATCCGACCATCGCCCCCCCCCCCCCCCCCCCCCCCCGTGAATAATTCGGACCACCAACTTCCTTGGGAAAATACATATTATTCTACAACCATCATCTCTTCATTCTGAGAAATCTTCTGCTTTGGTCAAGAGAGAAATGTCCACCCAGCCAGTAAGTAAGCTGTAGAGTATAAGACAAGGCAGGATCTGATCATATGTTAGCCTACACTGCTCCAGAGAAGTTCAGCAACATGAAGAGTTGGGTCAGGTGGGGCCCTACAGGTGAGTAGGACTTGCAAAGCTGGAAGACAGGAACAGCATGCCCCGGGCCCTGGGAGAGGGTGGGGCAGGGCATGAGAACGGGCTTATGGAGACGGGTCTGACTGAGACAGGCAGCTCCCGGGAGAGCCGAGCACCTGCCCCTCCCTCCCGTTCTGGCAGGATGGCGGCGACTTACCATGCTGGAATGGACCGTAGCCTGCTCAATGTACCTTGCAATGCCTGTGACAAATGCATTCCTGTCCTCGAAGTTTGTGTCAAAGTTAGCCTGTAGGAATTAGAGGACAGAAACATTTGTTGGAAAACAAGTCCAAGGTGGCTGGGTGTCCAAAAATGAGTCCAAACCTTTGCCAACCAACGCCACAGGTCTCTGTGGAAACCTATCTCCACATCGTCCTCTGATCCTCCCCCCGGAAAATCCCACTCTGACTCACTCACACTGGGCAGGCGCCTGCGAGACGGGGCCCGCACCTGCTCCCCCAGGTTGCCTGAGACTTGGAAGTAAATGGGTAAACTTCAGAAACCTAACTAGCTGCTGAACGTTAAGAGGGATATCACGTTCATCCAGCCGTTGCAGAAACACTCACCTGAGGCTGCAGATGCTTACGTACAAGGACGATAACTGCGGCATTTTTTGCGACAGAAAAAACTGGAAACCGTCCAAATATTCATTAACAGCAAAAGGCTAAATAAGTCATAGTATATCCATACGATGGACTTAAAAGTACTAGGTCGTGGTTAAAAATAAAATGGTGGCATTGCAGTATTGTCATGGAAAAATACCCATAATAAATTTTAAGTTAAAAAAGCCAAATCATAGACCAATATATATAGTACGGTTTCCTTTTTGGTTAAAAATATCTATATCTATGTATGATATATATTTATATCATATATATGGTAAAAAGGGACGTGTGTGTGTGTGTGTAGTCACAGTTACAGGGTGATTTTTATTCGTTATACTTTTCTGTATTGCTTGTAATAAAAAAGATACTTATGTAATCAAAAATTCAACCTGGGTTAGAAAATGTGAATAAGCCAAGTTTGTGACTTGACCCCTCAGCCAAGTTCGTGCTTAATAAAATCTAACTACTGAACGAAATTACAAATATATTATGCATTCATATTTAGTCTCAGTTAGCAGCCCCAGAACCTACAAGAGGTCAAATACAGCTAAAAATTTGTATAACTTCTTCTTTTCTCACGTGGCATACTCACCCAACACGCCCAGACGAGGGGCTGTTTGCGAGGTTGACTCTAGCTACACCGATGCCCTTCCCGGCTTGCCCTAAGGTGAGGGGGGATCGGTCATGGTTTTGAGCAATCTGATCATGGTCTGTCACAAGCTCAGGCAAAGGCAAACAATGGTGACTTGCTTCCCTGAGCCATTAGCTGCTATGGGGAGCTGAAAGCTCTTCTCACATACATGATGGAAAAGTAATTACCCAGGCAGGCTCCAGGGGTTTCTAAATTGTAATATTTAATTCATGAGATGAGAGCTGCCAAATCCTTGGTTGGTGCTGCAGCAGGAACCGCCGGGAAGGTATTTGGGGTCAGAGCGGATCAACAAGCCTTCCCTGGGGAGGAGAACAGCTCTGGTGTACGTTTACGAGCTAATCTATTCCTCATCCTCAGCTCCGGCAGGGCGCGAGGGACTCCATCAGCTTGGGACCTTTCACCTTTCAGAGGCAGCCAGACCCCCTCCCCGGGGCCTTCAGGGCAAGCAGACCTGGTACATGATGGAGGATGGCGGCGGCTCAATGCATGGCTGCTGGTCGGGGAGGGGCAGCTCCTCCAGCAGGTCCACGTTGGACAGGGCATCCTCCAGGGTCACGTGGGTGGTCATGGCTGCGGTTGCCCCGTTCTGCGCCGACGGGGAGGGACGTCAGGGGCCTCCAAGGGTCTCTCAGCCTCCCCCTGGGGGGGCTCCTTCCAGAGAAGAAAGAGGGTTTACACGCACTGAGACCACTTCCACTAGCTCCTTCTTCACAAAGTGTTTGCAACTGATGCCTGATAGTTGACGATCTCTTTGCAGTTTACAAAATCCTGTGCTGTTCTTTTCTTTTGGAACATCTATTGTCTGGAAGGGGCCACCCCGCAACCCCCTGTGATCAACACAGTGGGTGGTATTTTGGCCACAGAAGGGATGAAGAGGGAAGGCTCGGCGCAGTCATGGGACGCCCAGACAAGCACCATGACGAAGGCCCAGAGGCCTCAGATGGGCCTGCCGCTGGACACAGGACGTGGCCGGCCCCCAGCTTCGGCTACTTCTGAAGATATACGGCTGGTCTGCACCTGAATCACTGCATAGCACCAACACCCGTGCGGGAGAAGCCACGATTCTCCACTTGAAACCAGAGCCTACGTTTTACAGGCCAAGTAAGCCAGAACTAAAAGAATTCAGACTCTAGCATGATTAACCTTATTTGCAAAAATGGAAGTGCCATGATCTTCCTTGGCCTGGAGGGGTTTTGTGAGGCACACCAAACAAATCAGTCCTAAATGGATATTTTTGTGTCTTGGACCCTGATGGAGTGCGGTGGCTTAGACGAGAGCTGCATTGGGCAGTGAGGCTGAAGGGGATCTGAAGACGTGCTTACTTACCCAGGCCGAGCTAACTACTATTTTAAGAACTCAGCCCCCAGCAAACAGAATACTCATTTTTTTCAAAGCCTCTGTTAGACGCTGATAAAAAAAGATCATGATTTAGGCCGTAGAACAGGTTCTCAGGAGTTCCCCAAACATGACATCCTAGAATTCACATTCACTGATTACCATGAGTACGATTAGAAATAAAAAATGCAGATCGCAGCCCAAAAAACACCCCTACCTATGAAGATCTGTAAAAAATACCTCAAGGCCATTCATTGTTAAAGAGGAATTCAAATAGAAATCATAAACCATTTAGGACTGAAAGAGAACATAAATAAACGTCTTAAACGCATTTAGCAGAAAATAAGAAAGTAAAACTAAATGAACTAATTCTCACTCAAAAATCTAAAAAAAAGTGGCGCCTGGGTGTCTCAGTGGGTTAAAGCCTCTGCCTTTGGCTCAGGTCATGATCCCAGGGTCCTGGGATCCACATCGGGCTGTCTGCTCTGCAGGGAGCCTGCTTCCTCCTCTCTCTCTCTGCCTGCCTCTCTGCCTACTTGTGATCTCTGTCTGTCAAATAAATAAATAAAATCTTTAAAAAAAAAATCTAAAATAAGAAATCAACCCAAAGAAATGAGAGTGCAGGCACTGATCATTACAAAAGCTGAAATAAATGAAGCAAAGAACAAAACAAAGAACAGACTAGGTGAACGAAAGTCTAAAAACTGAGTTTCATGAGATTAATAGTAACAGCGAGCTGCCCCTTTAGCACACTTGGATAAGGAAACCAACAGAAAGCCCACTGTGCTGATGGTCTGAGCACCCCTCCCTTCCCCAATCTCAGGCAAGTGTGAGATGGGCTTGCATGCTAGAGTTCTGAAGTGTCAGAAAATGTGTCTTGATTGCTTGTCAGGAAATGTGGTGTCCAATACGAGGGCAGAGAAGGGTCACGGACATGACAGCTGGGTATACGGGCTGCAGAGTGTACCCCAGGGCATGCTGCCCCAAACCAGTGTCTCCGTCCAGCCCACGGCTGGGAGGGCAGGTCAGGGCCGAGCAGCTAGTGTTGCTGCACCCGTCACTGAGCCTTCTAGCACACCTCCCCATCATGCCTGGGACAACAGCAAAGGCCATAGCCAAGGAGGGCTTGAGGAACCCCGAAGTGAATTCCCCTCTGTTCTCTGCAGGCACTCAGCCTCATGGGGGTGGTTTTAGGTCCTCTCCATACCTATGCTTCTTCCTGTTCTCTCCCCTGAGTTCTAAGTGTGGTATCCAGTTCTACAGCAAAACCATTTGCCAACCAACACACAAAAAATTGTCTCCCTTCTTACATTAGTATTATGTTCATTTTATAGGAGGGACTAATAATTTTATAGAGCATAATGATCTACAAGCACCAAAGCCCTAAGAACTTTCTTCATTAATTCAAATAATAATAGTAGTAGTAGTAGTAATAAAACCAACATATCTTTACCCTTTATGCTCTGCCAAGCATTCCCCTATTTTAATCTTGCATGGACCCTATAAAGGTAGGTGCTATGATTATTCCCATTTTACAGAAGAGCCAAGAGAAGCTCAGAACTGAAGTAATTTCACAGGATCAAGTGCTGAAAAGTGTGGGGCTGGGGCTGGAATCTAGATGTCTCCAGCTTCAGATTTGGGGTTTCCTTCCAAGTGCTGAGATTCACATTGCAAGTCTGTGTGTACTAACACGAGGTCCATCTCCATGCTAGGTCTTCTCTTAAAAAAAAAAAAAAAAAAAAATTTACTTTTTTATTTGACAGAGACAGAGAGAGCAGAAGCAGGGGGAAGCGGCAGGCAGAGGGAAAGGGAGAAGTAGGCTTTCCGCTGACAGGGAAGCCCAATGTGGGACTAGATCCCAGGACCCCAGGATCATGATCTGAGCAGAAGGCAGACACTTAACCGACTGAGCCACCCAGGGGCCCTGTGCTAAGTCTTTTCAATTGTTGGTGCTTATGCCAAAGTACTACAGGCACAGCTTTTTTTTTTTTTTAAGATTTATTTATTCATTTATTGATGGTGGGAGGGACAGAGTGAGATGGAGAGAGAGAATATCAAGCAGACTCCACACAGAGCACAGAGCCTGATGTGGGCCTCAATCTTATGACCCCAGCATCATGACCTAAGCCAAAATCAAGAGCCAGATGCTTAACCTGCTGAGTCACCCAGGCACCCCGCACAGGCATGGCTTTTTAATAATAAAAGGCTTGGGCTCCATCTCTAGGACCTTAGTAAGGATGTGAAACATCACAAGGAAGGAAATCTGGCAATATCTGACAAACTCGTATAAGCATTTCACTGTTTGACCAGTAATCACTTCTAGGGAACTATCGCAAAGACACGTTGATAAAAATGCGAAAAGACATTTGCGCCGGGCTATTCACTGGGGCACTACCTGCAGTAGCAAAAGTGTGCAAAATGCAAATACACCTCAACGGAAGATTGTCTGAATAGACCATGTGCCACCGCACAGCGAGATACTAGGCAGCAGTAAATAGGAATGAGGAATCCATCTGTACACACCAAGTCTGGGGTGATCTCCAGGATATGCTGTGTACAATACACTGTCGTTTATCTAAGAAAGGAGTGATGTATACATGCACACACACACATTGAAAAACAAACAATGGAAGGATAAACCATCTAATTTTAAAATCTGGCCATCCCTGGGGAAGAAGGATAAACAGGAATATGGTTAAATGGGTAGGGATAGAGGCATGATTTCTTTGAAAATAACCTGTTTTGTAGATTTGACTTTGAAACCATATATTTTACATAATTATAATATATTTTTAAATTTAAAAAGCAACCACTCTGTGTGGCTCTGTCAGTTAAGTGGCTGCCTTTGCCTCAGGTCATGATGGCAGGGTCCTGGAATCAGCCCCACATCCAGTGCCCTGCTTGGTGGAGAGTCTACTTCTCCCCCTCCCTCTGCCTGCTGTTCCCCTACTTGTGCTATCTTTTGGTCAAATAAATACATAAACTCTCAAAAAAAAAAAAAAAAAAAAGCAACCACTACCCCCCAAAAGTAAGATAAAACAAATTAAGGTATATGTGTATTAGTTTTTGGCATAACTACACAGAAAGAACCTATTCCAAGTGATTTTAAAACTCAGAAATTTCTGGCAGAAGATAGCCTAAGAATGATGAAGAGTTGCAATAAAATATCTCGAGCTTTTTTTCATAAAAAATTGGTTAACTGTTGCAGTAAGAAAGTTTGAATGCACTGTAAGGAAAGACAAATTAGTGATTGTGGAATGCTCTATCATTCCTGGTGGTGCTGAGAATTGGTATTTTTGATGAGAGAAAGGACATACAAAACCAAGTCAACTAGATAGCCCTGAATATGAATTTGGGGTAACAGTAGGAAGTCATCACATGTTTTGACTTTAAATATACCATATATATGTATGTTTGTATGTATGTGTATGTGTGTTTATCTCCTAGCTCTGTGCACTGAAAAGACAAGGACACAATGACCAACCCATGAGCAATGAGCACTTTTACTGCCTGGCTTTGGTCTGCAAATACTATTTCCTGCTAAAAGAACCAATATATTAGAGAAATAGCTCAGTCCAGGTCCGGGACAGAAAATGTATAAGAAAGGCTTAGAACAAGTTGTCAGAGCAGAAAGCAAAGCAGCAGCTCTCTATCTAGGACTCCTGCGGTGTGTCCAAGGGACCCAGGAGCCAACTGGTGGCAGCTTCCACTGGCCAATGGAGGGGCACTGTGAGCATCAGTTAGTATAACTCAGTACAATGGAAGCAATATAAAATATGTTTAAATCCATGAAATCATAAGGGCACTTACTAAAACGTTGGTTTTTTTTTATTACTTTGTTATACTGCTGGAGGATGCCAGTGAACCACCTTTATGTTGAAAGTAGGCACAAAAAAGCAAAGAAGCAAACATTTAACGTGCCTTTCCTATACACACTGACCACTGGGTAACCAAGGGGAATGTTCATCTCTACAGATAGAGAAGTTCTTTTTTTTCCCCAGAAATATTGACAATAAAATATCCCTGGGTGGCTCAATCAGTTAAGCATCTGCCCTCAGCTCAGGTCATAATCCCCAGGTCCTAGGATTGAGCCCCACATTGGGCTCCCTGCTCAGCAGAGGGCCTATTTCTCCTTCTGCCGCTCCGCCTGTTTGTGTGCTCTCTCTCTCTCTCTGTCAAATAAATAAAATCTTTAAAAAATAAAAAAAAATCCCTATATTTCTAATTCCTCAAATGGATATAGGCAGAGATCATCATCCACCGCTAATATCCCTAAGTGAAAGACAATCAGACATCATGTGCCTCCTGATGGAAAA